AAACCCATTGGATGGTGTATCATTTCACACCATACCCCCCAATGCCAAGAACAGCTCGTAATCCAATAAAATCTTTGGAAAACCGAGGCTTGCCGAAAATCGTGCCGCGGCCACAGCAGGGGTTGTTAAACGGATAATCCAAATCCATTTTCGTGGAACTGGTTCGAGCGTGCAAGCGGGTGCCTACCTCGGCGAATATGTGAAGATGTATCATTTGTACATCAAATTAGGATTATTTGCATGTTACGGATACAGTGATTTGGCAGTAACACGACATGGTAAATCCATAATACTGAACAATGAACAGTGCAATTCTCTATGCCTACATGTACATGGACATGAATTGTAGCCATTTTACACAATATATTCTGGGAACCTGGATGATACAAGAAGCTTTATACAATCAATCATTGCTTGCCTGTGGTTGTCTAGTCAAACTCAGCCATGAATTCTCAGACAATATCTATTGAATATTATTGGTGCAATATTATAATATAATATCTCTATGAAAAGGGACAAAAACGCACTTTGCCCATGTGCATGTACTTTTCTTAATCATAACTTTACAATTGCACCTCTTTTTTGTTTAAAGCCTTATTTATCTTTACGGATGTACATTCCCTATACCTCAACATTGATTACTTTCTGGAATAAACAGACCACAGGAAGGTTGACAGACTATATATTTGTATTCTTGGAGCCAAATCCTGCAGAAATAATGAAGAATAGCAGAATGAGTGATGTACTGTACATGGAGGGCATTTTAAAACAGTACTGGGTACTACTTGTTCAAATGTCCCTGCACTCAAATTGCCCCGAGTATGTTTTGGGAAGTTGAAAAATGTCATCCGTGTTTTGCCCTAGATTTCAAAGGGGTTATTTACCATTTCAGATTTCTGTTTACACCACCTATCTTCGAGATATCCTAGTTTGTAAGAAGTGAGATTTAGTATGAATGAGGCCAATGTGACATGCACAATGTACATGTATCTGTATGGACTTGTTCATACTTTACAAGATAATGTGTTCATTCATTCATAATTCATTCTTGTGGTTTATAATGAAAACCCAGATGGCTGAATGGATCCACCATAACCGTAATGTCTTCACTGCTTTAGTCCATACACATGCCACCACTGATACAGTAATCACTTAATGGTGCTGGCTTGCTTCCTTGCTACAATTAGGCCTGTCCTCATCAGCTCGAGTTTGCCAAATAACCCACTATTTTCAGACTCAGATATTATCCAGAAGCTCAAAATTGCGCTCTTCACCAGACCGATGCACTCATCACAAACTAGCTCGGACGGGCGCAAATTACCCGCTATTTCCTAAATATTTCCTAAATAGCGGGATATTTCAGAAACAAGGCCAAGACTCCTCTGGATATTTTCTCAACCATATATTCTGCTAATTGCAACTACGGGCTGATGAAGACGGAAATTAATTGATTAATTTGCGACCAGTTTAAGTTAAAATAGTGGGTTATTTGGCAAACTTGAGCTGATGAAGACAGGCCTTCTGGGAACACACAAAAACATGTCACAGCCGAATCAGTGGACTAATGAGGAGGAACATGTTATGTTACATGTCATGTGATTCATTTGTTTATGCTACGGCCATGTGCTGGCATGCCTGTGTTTATAGAATGTTACAGCTCATGACGAATTCCTCAAGAGCTGATAATTTTAAGGGAGCACATTCAATCCTGAACTAGTATTAGAGAATTGGTACAAAAGTGGGTGGGCACCAAGATATAAGTTATTGATGAAACAAAAAATGAGCAAAGTTGATCTTTACAAAATTCACATTGCAGATGATGTGGCAAATTTATCATAATGGAAAAAAAATCTTTATTTCAAAAAGTTTGTATAATTTATGGAATTATGTTGTTTATAAATACACTTATGTAATAATTACAAAATGCAGTTATATTCAGTATTGGAATACTCGAACATTTAATTTTGTTTGTTTGTTTGTTTTGGGGCCCTGTCTTATAAAGAGTTGAATCAATCGCAACTCATTTACGATTGATATCAATCGTAACTACATGTACATGTACATGTATGAACATATTAAAGAGATAGGAGACTATACACCTTGCGATTGATTAGAGGACTTATGTTTGATCTGGCATTTTGGATCAATCGTAACTCTTTATAAGACAGGGCCCAGATGTGCATGTTGTACTGTTTAGGGTTCCAGATTTGATTACAACCCAATTTCTCTTCATCTATCGTTATCACAGCCATCACATCCTGTACTTTTGAGGTTATTTCTTGTTGCATTCAGCCTCGTCTTCTCATTTCTCTCTCGAGTCTGACCTTCCTATTAGCTCGGGATGGGAAGGAGCACGAGAAACCGTGAGAAAAGATACCACACGTAAAATGAGATGCTGTCAATGTCGATAAGCAGTGCACTTTCAATATCTTTCAGTTTCTCTCATGTTGGCTTGGCCGCTGCGGAGACTTTCCCATTTGTATCAATCATCTGTACTTTCATCAAGAAACAACTGAGCTCTAGAAAAAGAGAGAGGGGAGTGGGGAGTGGAGAGAGATGGCAAGAATGAGGATGGGAGGGGATAAAGACAGAAAGACAAGAGTGAGAGAAAAAGGGAGAGAGAGAGAGAGAGATGCAAAGTGGGAAGGAGAACCTGTCGGAAACAGTTTTTATTTTGAAGAGATTGAGGGAGCCTCAGGGAGGGGTGGGGATACAGCATGAACCAAGTTGTAGAAGCCTTTACTGTAAAAAGAAAAGTAAAAGCTGAAAGAGAAAGAAGAAAGAGATGAGAAGAAAGGTTTCCTGAAAATGAATTAAGGAAGTAGATTTGTATACTGTAGACACAGGAATACAAAAAAAAAGTTCAAAGAGGTGGAGAAAATGAAAGGTGATTGTGAAGAGCGATGGGGCAAAAGTAAGAGTGGCATATAAGATGTTTGTAAACAGATTCTGGAGAGAGATGAAGAGCAAGAGATTCATTCAGTTGATTCATGTTGGCTCCACCAAGTCACCTCTCATCGATGAGCTTCTCCTATTTCAATCAGTCTCCTCCACTTGGACGTGTTTTTCTGAACTATTCTTGGCGTTCTGACTCATCACCCCACATCTTCTTCTTCCTAGTCATCATCCCCACGTATTACTCTCCGTCTCTGTCTCTGTCTGTCTGTCTGTCTGTCTCTCTCTCTCTGTCTCTGTCTCTGTCTCTGTCTCTCTCTCTGTCTCTGTCTCTGTCTCTGTCTCTGTCTCTCTCTCTGTCTCTCTTTCTCTCTGTCTCTCTTTCTCTTTCTCCATTTCTTGTATCTCTCTCTATCTGTCTCTCTCTCTCTTTCTCCATGTCTCATATCTCTCTGTCTCTGTCTTTGTATCTGTCTCTGTCTTTGTATCTGTTTCTGTCTCTCTCCGTCTCCGTCTCTCACTCTCTTTCTCCTTGTCTTGTATCACTCTGTCTCTGACTCTCCATCTCTCTGTATCACCCTGTATCTGTTTTTCTATTTCTGTCTCTGTATCTCTCATTAAAGGGGCATTTGCATTGCAAGCAAAAACCATTGTTTTTTTCCCTCATTTCTCATTCCACATTCCACATTCCACACAATGAAAACCTGACTCAATAGACTCACATCTGGAGTGTGGTCTTTTGGAACTCCACCATTTTTTGCAACTTGTGAATCACAAAACACCGGTGAATTAATCCAGTTTTGGGTCACATGACTTTCCTCGCTTTCGTGCTAGTGCATGCAGAGCAACGACAAGAGGAACATGCACACAACTCACACCAAATTTTTTTTTATAAATAAATTAAATACTGACGGATTTTTAATATGGGTTTTTCCAGTAGTGTAGTGCTCTCTCTCTCTCTCTAAAACAGTCTTGGTGTCTTTCAATTTCTTTACCACCCACCTCTCTATCTCTCTTTCTCTTTCTCTCTCTCTCTAAAACAGTCTCTGTGTCTTTCAATTTCTTTACCACCCGCCTCTCTCTATTTCTCTCTTTCTCTCTCTCCCCTCTCTCCCCTCTCTCCCCTCTCTCCTCTCTCCCCTCTCTCCTCTCTCCCTCTCCCCTCTCTCTCTCGCGCCCTTCCTCCCTCTCTGTTATTATTACTGTATTATTTTATTTATGAATTATACCAGAGAAGATTACCAGCTTACATGTACATACAAGGTCCATGCACATGCAAGTTTTTGTAAACTTTCAAACCGAATATGACAAAACAGCAGTCGCTGTGCTATGGCCTAATCTGGGTCATAAGTCCACCTCCATAATACAAGCACTAATTCAATCTGGTCAGGTTTGTGATGAGATGCTAAATATTTACCCGAATCCAATCCTGAACACCATGTCATAAGTGCAGTAGGCTGCTCTGACTAATTAATACCACTGGTCAAAATGTGTGTGGACAGATTTAGGATGACGTCGACGATTGATCCATGTGAATATGAGAATCATATGTGTGTTTGTCTGCTGTAATGAAATGTGATTAGATTAAGTGGTGATGATTGATTAATACCACGTATCTCATTTCATTCTGTAATTTGAAACATTGTGATTCATTTACTAAATGGATTAGGGCATTCCCAGACTTAATTAAATCCTATTAATAGCCATGATAAACTCATTAGTAGCCATGATATATTCTGTGAAGCTAATCCATTAATAGAAAGATTAGGGAAAGACAGAGTGCTTTTGAGAGTATGTACATTTCAGCCCAGAATATCAGACTACCATTTTAGTTTTCTAATCAAGAATTTTTAAAAGTATTTTTCTTCTCTTCAAATCTGTGATTTTGTATTAAAGTGCTATGGCTGTTTTTACTAGTCTTGTATTATTTTTCATTGTATTATTGCACGATTTTACTATTCTAATGATTTACATCATTTAATGTCATTTCTCTTCTTAGCAAATACTTGATTTGATAAACTATACTGCAAAGCATGTCACAGGCTTTTTCCACATATAATTAACGTTACACTGTACATTATAAAATTTACTCTCTTTTTCAACAGTTCTTGTGTATGAAAAACATCCGAACATTCCTGCGAGCCTGTTCTAGGGTATTCAAGATACGAGAAGCGGACTTCTTTGATCCAGCATGGCTCTTCCAGATGTCAAACTTTGGATCGGTAAGAAAATAAAAAGACACCGTAATTTTGTGCTTGAAGTTAAAGATTAAAATGTGATGAAGAGAATGAAATGCTTGCAACCATAATATTTGGAACTGGGAGAAATTGGGAATAACAGGGAAGAGGCAAAGAGGAAATACCTTTAATATTCAAAGTAGTAGTAGTAGTAGCAGTAGTAGTAGTAGTAGTAGTAGTTGTAGTAGCAGCAGTAGTAGTAGTAGTAGTTGTAGTAGTAGTAGTAGTAGTAGTAGTAGTTGTAGTAGTAGTAATAATATTAATAATAATAATATTGCTTATATAGCGCTTAATACGTCGGGAATGTACGAGTTTCTAAGCGCTTTACATTATTACCCCCGGTCATCGGATTCTGGCTTGCCCGCACACAATGTATGCACTTTCTCCACTCCCTGGGGAGCATTCCAACAAGAGCTACTAGGCTCGAATTGCTAAGCATACCACATTGGCTTTCGCATCCTACCGGGTACCCATTTAACACCTGGGTGGAGAGTGGCAAATGTAGATCAATGTCTTGCCAAAGGACATTAGTGCCGTGGTGGGACTCGAACCGCGGACCTTGTGATCGACCACAACACCTCTACAGTAGTAGTAGTAGTAGTAAAAGTAGTAGTAGTAGTAGTAGCAGCTGTAGTCGTCATCCTAGTAGTAGTAGCAGTAGTATAGCAGTAGTAATTGTAGTAAATGTAGTATACATTTTAATGATATGATTATGATTATTTTTTTATGGTTACTTTTGTGCAGGACTGAACCATGATATAATGTTCATTGTTGTTTTGTAGTGCATTGACTCGATGCAGATTTACTAGGGCAAGCCGACCTCAATTCCATTTCCTTTTTTGGTGGTGTTTGTTACGTCATTGTAAAATTATTTGAAATTTCTCATGCACATGTTCATTTTCTTCTATCCAGCTCATCGATCTGCTCTCCAAACTCTCACAAGCAGACGATGCCATCCGCATGGGAGCTCAGTAAGTATCCAAGCAAGCAGCTGTTGTATTCTATCTTCATCAAGGATTTCATTTAGAACCTCAATCTGAAGCCAAGTATGTGGCACTTGAAAATTGGAAGAGCAACATTCACCTTCTTAATAGTACACAATTTACATACAAAACAGAGGCTGCTTAAATGTTTTGAAGCTTTCAACTAGACTTTAACATTTCCATTTCTATATCGATACCTCTATTTCTATGTTTACTTCTCCTACTGCCAGGATACTCTGCTGAAGTAAGGATGCAGTGCCTAGGAGTTAAACTGATATACTTGACTTTCTGAAAAGAATTTTGTAAATATTTTTTTTAAGGCTTCCAGAACTTGACTTCCATTGATCTGTGTTTAAGAACTGACAGGAAAGAAAGTGACTTAAATTTTGTTCCCTCCTTTTAGAAAACCCTTGCAAAAGTATATCAATGATAACAGAATTTCCTAGGTGAATAATGGCTTCCCTGCAATATGTATAACCCATAAAGATGCATGTACATGTACCAATGTAAACAAAATGTCTGTTTCAACACAATCACATACAATATAAATAAAGAAAAAAACATTGCATACTTTATTGTGATAGAAACAATGGAAGCAGAACACATTACATCAAAGGTCAAAGTCCATGTTCCATGAGCAAAATGGCGTTTTTCAATCCAAGTATTAAACCCAGTCCAAACCCGAATACCCTCCTCGTGACTGGCTCGACACCGGTGTTGCAAAATACCACTCGCGACTTCCTCATCCTGTCTCGGAAGGTCTGTATTAAAAGGAAAATATTTGAACCCTGGACAGCTCTTGATACATCTATAGGCCTGTCATCATCAGCTCGAGATTGCCAAATAGCCCGCTATTTCTGATTTCGAAATTAATCCCAAAGTTACAAATTGCGTCTTCATCAGCTCGAGACTCGACCTCGAAATTTGAAACTCGAGCTCGAGAAATTAGCTCAACAGATTTTGCTCAGCGCTCGAGCATAGTGCGAGTCTTCAGGCTGGTGAAGACGCACCGGCCAAATAGCGGGATATTTTGCAAACTAGCTCAAGATATCTTGGAATGATTATCTCGACCAAATATCCCGCTAATTGCAACTTCAGGCTGATGAAGACGCAAATTACCTGGATAATTTGCGATGGGGATAGTTCAAATAGCGGGATATGTGGCAATCTCGAGCTGATGAAGGCAGGCCTATTGTGTAGTTCCTTGATTAAACCCAACTTTGGCTTTGTAGGAAGATTTCTATGGGTCATGACCTCATTGTTGCAGCTACATAGTAGGTAAAGATTAGGGAATTCCCCACCTGTCTAATAAAGGTGATAACAAGACACACACGTTTTGTCAATAAAACTGCACAACTGGGAATATAGTTGTGAAAATTAGAAACAGGTCAATAATGTAAAAACTACCATAATTATAATATTTGCTCATTTCCCTATTAATTACAATTCTTGATGTATTATTGTAAATAGTACTACACATCTACAAAGTCCACATGGACATACACGTTCTGTACTTTATATTATTTGCTCATGAAATGTTGCTTATTACAGCTACACTGTAGGTAAAGATTAGGGAATTCCCCACCTGTCTATAAAGATGATAATAAGACACACGTATTTGCAATAAAACAGCACAACTAGGAATATAGTTGTGAAATCAGAAACAGGTCAATAATGTAAAACTACCATAATTTATAATATTTGCTCATGAACAGAATGCACACACCAAGCTCCTTTTCTTCTTTTGTAATAATTGGCCGTTAGTTTCCGTTGATGGTCCATTGTTCACACACCCACACGTTGTTTTATGAAAGAAAGAATTTAAAGAGCCAAACAGAAGCTGTACAGGCAAAGAGAATCACTTCAGATACATGTGTATTTACTTCCTATTTAATTTGTACTTATTCTTTATTCGATGTGATTGAAATGAAAGAAACAGAATGGGAGAACCAGAAATTTTGGAAGAATAATCAGAAAATGGATGTGAATTATGATTAGCTGAACCACAGACTTTGATAAAATTTGAAGACACCTCAGTAAATTTATGAAAGAATTACAAATACATATCGAAAAATGACGAAGAACGGAACAAATGCGGATATTGAAGAAAAGGGCACAAATTTGGCAACAATTTGTAGAAAGAAGATGATAGGATGAAACAAAAAACAACAAGAGAAATGAAAATGAGTGAAAGAGGGAGAATAAAAAGTAGGATAAGGGAATCGTAACATTGTAAGAAGAAAGAGCAAGAAAGAACAGCATAACATTTTAAGGAAGCAAACATATTTTATATTTCATCTTTTATAGTTCACTAGCTGTGATTACATGCGTAAGGAAAGGGAAAATACATATTCCACAAATTTGTTTTCATAGGAAACATGACAGACTTGCTTTAAATGAGGAAGTACCCGTAAGACCATTGTTATGATCATTTGGAACTACCCTGTATGATGGCAGTATTACATGTATGTCAAAAAGAAGCTCTTTAATGGAGTCTTTAACATTCCAGTCTGCAGATGTAGCAGGGTCTGTCTGGAGAAGTAATTGTTTATATAGATAAAGCCGAGTTCTGGTCATGTGATTGCATTGTGAAAGAAACTCTTTGGAAGCCATTTCTATAAAGGTTTGTTTAATATGTATCACATACAAGTACATGTTTCTCGGGTGTATGGTCAGGTTTCAGAATCGTCTAAAAGATAAGAAACTGAGTCAGTTTTCCTGGAAGTCACATATACTGTACGCAGAAATTTGTCAAGGAAGTTTGGTGTAAACCCTTCTGCTATTTCTTGTCATATATTAATTATTTACACACACAGAATGAGAAAGCTTAATACATAATTATATTTCATAATTATATTTCATCTTTCCCATAGCTCCACTTTATGTTTAAGTTCCATTATCAGTCTGAAACAACACATCATGTGGGAAGTGTTTATTTTGAAAAATGAATATGAGATACATTATAAAAGTTGTATCTTCTTTCCCTATTAATGACAATTCTTGATGGATTATAAATAGCACTACACACCAACAGTAAGCCTACATGGACATACTTGACACAAATATTGACTTCCTTGTGTCAAATCCTGCACATTTATCATTGAGTCAAGCATTTTTTAAAGCTACATTTGTCAGTGTGAACCGGTAGATGTAGTTTTCGCCTAACTTGTAGTAGAATGTGTCTATACGTATATTGTTACTTTAATACCGATGAGTTAAAGATAAACTTGAGTTCTGGTAATGCGATTGCATTGTGAAAGAAAAGGTGTGGAATGGATCAGAAAAGTTGATGATATAGCATGTAAGTAATGGTGTGTAATGCAAGGTTCTTGAGTCATCAAAATCATCTTAAATTTGGCAGAGTCTTGGTAAAGTAACAATCACTTACACAGAAAGATGTATATGGGACAACACACATGGTGTCGGGCTAGTACTACCCTGATTTCCTTATATTTCTATGCTCATTACTCAGCCAGTATACATTTTCTTCCAAAATTGTTGGGCACATGACATTTATTTGTAGTCTTGAACATTCAGTGTGAGCTTCGTTAGATTCTGTGAGAATTCATTTTCTCTTTTTACCAGAACTCAAGTTTATCTTTAATTAACATGTATAAAATAAAAGTGAACATCCCATTCCACTTTGTTGGCTAAATAGACAATAATAGGAAATAATAAATCTATGATTTTCCGTGAAAAGTACAGATAAAACCTCATTTCCCCGTAAATCATAAAGGCTGGAATAGGGAATATGATACTTTTCTTCCTCTGGTTGCCATGGTAAACATCCAGTGTGTGTCCTACATGATGAACTCATCCCCGTTCTTTATTGACTCTGAGCATCCTTGCAGAGCCTTTAATATACCCTTGGAGCTAGGCTCTTCCTTTATTACCGCATCTATGCTGATGAACCAAATTACCCTTCAAATTCATGCCTCGGATCCCGTATATTGATTCTCATATCGCGCCAGCCTGAGGCCAACCAGGATACGGATAGAAGTTTAATAATCACAGGTTGCGCGGCGGGGAAGGAGCGGTAATGATAAGAGATGAAGGGATGAAATTGGCCGAGAGGAGGCAAGAAGATGAAGAAGAAGGAAGCAGGTTTTTTGATCAAGTAGCCCATAAGGGAAAAATCTTGATGAAATAAAGAGTGATGCATGGATGCAATCATAATGGACTTGAGTCATTCTACTGTCCTGGTTTCCCCGAGGAGCCTATAAGTGGAGTTAAGAAATATATGAGGTTGAAGAGGCCATGCATGTCTGGAAGATTGCCGCCTCATTATTTGGGAAGTTATTATGAAATCACTTCTGGTGAGATTTTTTCTCTTTTTTTTCAATTAAAAGAAAAAATGAGGCCAAGTACATGTACAGTATTATAAAGCACATGTGCATTTCATTTATTCATACTATGTAATCTTCAAAATACAAAGAAACATAATCTGAAGTGGGATGATCATGAAAAACACATGTAAATGGAGAAAATAACAATAATTTTGGTACATGATTTACATAAAATCAAGATTACAAAAAGGAAGTTAACGTAAAAGAGAAAAGGGGGAAACATATTGCATAAACATTGACATACAGGTAAGTTATTATAATTTTTCATAAAGAAATTTGTAACTACATGTAGTATCCTTTAAAATTGGTTGACTGTCTTATACTATTCTTAGTTGATATATATTTTTTTTATATTTATTTATTTCCACATGTGGGGTGGATTGCCCTTTCAACTTAGGTTGATTTTCAAAGGGGTCCACACACATTTAAAAACAGTTACAAATCATATCAACAAACAAGCAAAGAAATAAACAATTAGATACATGAAATATACAAGAGATAAGCAAATAAACAATTACATTAATTAAATACATAAGATATACAAGAAAATTCAGTATGGGTACATTTGGGTAAGAATATGTTTCCAGTCAAGGAAGATAATGTACTTCTTAAATTGTTGAGCTGTGAGTGTGTATACAGATGAAGATTTCCCGATTACATTCCATAATTTGGATCCCCTATATCTAAGACATCTTTTTCCATAATTTGTTTTTATGCGAGGTATGGAAAAATGCACATCACCAACCCTGAGACTGTAATTAAATGTCTGACTTATAAATTGCATATAAATTTAACTAGGCAACTCTCTTTTGACAACTTTAAACATTAGATGAGCAAGGTGTTTACAAAATCGAAACATCTAATTTATCGAATTTAAGTGAATCATAGATCAATTGGCTAGAATACATATAACCAACACGTAGTACAACATATAGGATATATACATTGGTACTGTTAAGGATGAGTGAAGAGTCTTAGGCCTACATATTATGAACATTTCCTATTAAATCAATTAACAGGTTCTCTATTCCATCTACCAAACAACAAAATATATATTAAAGGGAGGCGTTACTACTTCAGCAAGAAGGGATTAGACCACCCAGTGAGCCATCGAGGTCACTGTGACAGGTGGCTTTCTCATTAACTCAGCTCTCATTTAACATAAGAAAAAGAGGATCATGGGGGACCAACAGGCACCGATTGGGGAAGTTTTCTATATAGAGGGAGTAAGTAGCTACAAGTAGGACAGTGTGCCTTTAAGAAGCATGAAATCTGACATTATTACATACAGATGTGCAAATCTTTTTGTCAAAGAGTCTGTAACATAATCTCACATTTAATAACAATGGACAGCCAAATGTTTCTAAGAAACCCACATAAAAGATGTATGAGGACTGTGTATGTACTGTACATGTATGAATGCATCTGCCTATGATTTGAAAAAAATATTTTCTGAATCTGTGAGTTTGATATTAAAGCCAGTCACTTCACTTCTATTGATAGCAGTGTTTCTATTTTTGTACTATTCATGTACTGTTTAAAACAAAAGTACAAATCATGAACACATTAGACATTAGTATTATAATAGGAAAAAGCTGTTAATACATCTTTTTCTATTCTGTTTGAAAGTACAAATCACTAACACATTGATTGGACATAAATATTACAAAAGGAATAAGCTGATTAAATACATCTTTTTCAAATGAAGGATAACGATTCTCAGGCTGAAGGATCTAGCCTAACTTATTAAAAGTAGGAAGCTTTTCTGTGAGTTACCAAGAAATTGTCCTGAAAAAATAACCTTATTGTGTCGACATGGTGACAAGGAAAAAAAGAGAAAAGGGGGAAATGTATGATCTATAGGTCTATACATATTTTGACCTCGATTCTGAATGAGACGTGTATGTACTTCCTTGTATTGACAGCAGTGCCCCACTCATGCCTTTCTGCGTCGGTTGAGATATGATAATGTGTGCTTTGCACATCTCTGTGCTATCTCCTCTCCATAGCATGCCTGTGATGATGATAACTATTGACATTATCAGACAGCAATTTAATAAGCTCTTTAAGCTGTCACTTTGAGGACAGTTGCCAGCTTCTGCTGCTCTCAATTAAAGAAAAGCAACTGTTTGATGATTGTCAGCGGGAAATCTAAGCATGAGACAAAACGGTATGCGGTACCGGTACGTGTTTCACACCGTGACCCACCCACACTGCAAAAACCATGTCCTGTATATCTGACGTGTTCAATCCTTTTATTTACAAATGTAGGTTGACATTTGCCCTATATAAAGTGACTGAGAGTGAAAAGGGTAATAACTTCATGATCATACAATTACATGAAGGATAATTCATTGAATGTCAAGTTATCAGTAATTCATGATCTTGTTATAATACAATGTACTTGTACAGTGAGGGTACTTCTGCTATTAAATGCCAGGGTAATAATAGTACAGCGCTTTATACATAAATGCCATGTGTAAACAAATATAGAAAAATACTATTATTATTATTATTACCATGGTTATATGGTATAGAAATTATCCCTTTTATGGCACAGTTCACATGTCATTCCAAATTATTACTTTAGTCATGATCATTCTATGCAACAATCATAATAGTAAAACCTTTAAAAAATTATGAATATTATTTTCCTTACAAGAAAAGAGAATGAAATATTGGAAGTTGTGTAACTGTGGCTGCATTGATGTTATCAGAAGTAGAAAAGTTCTTTTTTGGACTACACATGTTGGCTAAATGTTAATGTAGGCTGACATTAGTGTGAAATATATTTCAAGGCTACATTTATTGTCATAGGACATCATTCAAGAGTATACAGAGCATACATGTAGGAAAATGTAAAATAGTGTATGAAGACATCTTAACCTTAATTTTGAGAGAAAAATCACACATAGATGAAGCGCATTTCCTACCCAAGCAATATCAGCACATACAGTTGTAGTCTATTTAATTCTGCTAATTTATCCTTTAAGGGTGTCTTAATCCTTGACTTTAATAGTTACGATGTGATTGTTATTGTAAAGAAATCGTCAAGCATCTCATACATGTAAATACTTGCAATGGTTTTCCATAAAATCTTTAGTTGTTAATTAACTGGTTTTAATTATCCATTATACCAGAGTTAAAAATACTATAAAGACAACAATGCTAAATCAATTCTTAGGATCCCGGGAATTATAAAATCAATTCCGAGGATCACGGAATTATGATTTGACTCTTTTGGGGGTCACATTGACCTTCCCACTGTCTTATAAATGTTCAGTTTGAATGCAGCCTTGGGGCCAATTTTTAGCCTCTCCTATAAGGGGCATATATATTGCGACTAATGGTGATTGATTACTTCACTAAGTAGCCCATAGGCACTGTTAGCGTCATGCATGATTGGTCGTAACAAGAGCCGTTTCTTACCGCTATAAATTCTTCATTTTATCCCCTCGTTCAGACCCTTCAAGACGGAGCAAGAGGACATTTATGGAGGGCTGGAGGATCTGGCCGAGTAAGTATGGAGTGATGGACTTTTATTTTATGCACAAGCGATGCCCTGAAAACAAGTATTCATAACCTCTAATGGCAATATGGTATGGTAATGTTTGCTTTTAATGTGATTGCTCTTAGCGATGCACATGTAAATGGCTTTTAACTTTAATTGGATGGCTGTCAATTAATCAAAAGTGGCGTGTCAGGAAAAGGTGCATAGACATTGTAGATTAAAGGTGCTTGTAGTTTCAAGTTTTGATTCATAGCCGGGACTTTTCAAAAGAGTTGCAATACTTTTGCAAATGTCGGTGCAAAGTTGCAAACGTGAAATCACTTACAAATCAAATTTGTGTAATACCATCACTACAATGGTAGATATAGGAGTTTAGTACATACTTTATCATATTAAGGGTTTAACTCACCTATTGTGTACTACTAGAATGAATAAAATCAACCTCCAAACAGTTTGATACACAGAGCATAATATATTTTGGTGATTAGTACACTTACAAAAAATATTTGTATTTCTGAAGTACATGTACACAGCGATACATGTACATGGATGCAATTGACATGCAATACCATGCTCTTTCTCTTTTCTCGCGATTAAAGCTTATGTTCACTCTGTTCTCCAAAGCGCCACGGTGTGTTAATGATCATCATTTGTCAAGTCATTTAAAAAACTTGTTTGTATTTTTTATACAGCGAGCATGATTTAGCAAACGAGGGCGACATTTACGACACGGTGGACGAAGATGAAGGGGACAAGATTTACGACGATCTGGTCAATATTCGGCGAGAGCTCACCAGCCACAGGACTCAGCAGCGCCAGAGCGAGGTGATTAATGACCTGTGTGAACACTCTCGAGATGAGAGGTTCTATCTGTAATTGTATGAGCAGTCTCGTTCACATTAAACATTTTAGTGAGCCTTAATTTTTCTTTAAAATTGACCATGGAAACTTAATAATGTGTTTTCACTTGTGCTTAGAAGATACAAATGGACAATTACGCAAACAGTTTCCGGATCAGTTTTATAGAGTGGGAATATTTTGTGATTTTGAATTTCTTAGCGTAGAGACGTCGATAGATGAGGAACATTCCATATAACTTCCTGAAAACATAGTTCTGTAAGATACAGATCTGTCATGTGAACATGGGTAGTATAGAAAGGCTAGTTGAGGAAACATTATGGAGACTGTTGAAATTCAAGTACCCTACTCTATTAATGTGTAAATGTACTTGGTAGTTTATACGGCATGAAATAGGATGTCTTGAAGCCGATGTTCTAAAAACAAAGAAGAGGGAAGTGACATTTAAAGGCACCCATGATAGAGCTGTTTTCTATCAACATTTGGATTTTTTTTATCATGTAATATCTCCCCCCCCCCCCCCCCCCCACTCCCCCTGCACCTAACATGGACAGATTCACGAAAGATGTCAATTAATATTTTAATAATTTCTTAATTGTAACCTTTTAATTCTATAATTTTGTACATTTAATTTACTTTTATTTTGTAATCACACTGAAATTAAATTAACTTTGGTTTTGTTAACAGGTCGTTTTTTCATCAGCTTCGATGGCAAAAACAAGTCCTGCTACCTATTCTAAAAAATAAATTAAATGATAAGAAAACTCAATGCATTTGTTTGGTAATATGTTTTTGCTACAAATGGAAGTTTGCTTCGGTTACATTTTTTTCTTCAACTATGTTCGTACTGCCAATTTAAGCGTGACTGAAATTAAAAACAAATGAAGCTGTGAAAACTGCTTCAAGAATGCATGCACTCTGAAAATCACAAGGTGAATTTATACATATGCAAGCAGGATATAAGATAAGTTCTGTAACAATATTCTTATTATTTATAGGTTTATTGAATATCATTTCTATAATATTTATGATTTTTAAAGTGGTTGTTTGTTGTCATTTCAGCCTAAAACAGCAAAGCGTGATTTTTGTCGGACAGAGATAGTCGAGACAGAAGGGAAATACGTGGAAGCTTTGTCCATGCTTTGTGAGGTAAGCTAGTGGGGTCTACAAGGCCCTAAGAATGGGCTCCATTTTACATTGGGAATTATGGGGGTCAGGGGAGTGTTTCCCAAAGACTAAGATCGACTTTAAGTTGAACTTACCTATGGCAGGCCGTTCATGCCACTGTTTTCTCTCACCATTTACTGGCATCGCTCTCTCAAGGGACGTACAAATCATGGTCCTTTTTGACAGAATTTACATTCTTTGATACTTAACTACTGATGGAAAAATTATTATCTAGTATTCTAGTGGTATGAACAGACTGCCATAGTTAAGTCCAACTTAAAGTCGATCTTAGTCTTTATGAAACAATTCCCTGGTGTTAAATTTTGGTTACTGTTAGTGCAAAGCCCTGACTATGGCTGCGTTCATGCTTAAATTTTGAAGGCAGAATGAGCGATCTGAAACGCTCATCGTGATCGCAGTTCCACGATGTACTGTTCATGCTTACTTCTCTGGCTCCCCCAGGCAATTCTCCGTGTGTGGCCTTAATTGGTCTTCCAGCTGGATTTGCAAACCTTCACTGTGCATGCTACGTAGACCCACTAGAGGTCAGTGCGTTGACCCCATTTAAACGCGTTTACAAATTGTAAACGCATCTTTTTGTGAGTTTACGATCGGCGATCGTGATCGCCGTTTTTCGGTGATTCTACAAAAGTGAGCATGAACGCAATCGTGTTTTAAACTAAACGCGTAACAGATGCCTGATTCTGGCCGTCAAAATCAAGCATGAACGCGCCCTAAGAAAGAATGGTAATAGTGATTATATGTCGTGGAATAAGTTAGTTCCCAGGTTTCCAATTTCTACTTTCAAACTGTACATTCTGTCCTATTTTTGCAATCTTTTCTAGAAAAGATCTCCAATGAAATTAATAAATGTGGCTTAACACTAGTCAGAGTTGTTTGAAATTCCACAGACATACATGTACAATGCTAGCACCGGTATTCAATACCCCACCTCTTTCACTTTCCATTGCATTCCACTTCGGCTTTGTTTATGGTCTTCATGAGCTTATTATGATCAACAACGTTCCTCAAGAAAGCTGATATGTGATCGGAAATGTACAGTAATACTGCCTATTTGAAAGTGCTTTCCTTTTCTTTCCACGCTCTTTAGATGTTAGAGTGCTGCTGATTTAATTACACAATGTTGTTTGTTTGTAGGCTAATGCCATAAAAGCAACATAAAAGGACATGTTCAAACAGATACTGTACTTTGAGTAGAGAGATAAAACTATTAAAATTATTGCAATATAGCTGTCCACATAGGCCTACTAAAGAAGGATATGCAAAGATGCAAGCAAAGCTATTGGGTGGTATTCTCATAAATTAAGCCGGGACTAAGTCTAGACTAAACAAGAATGTTAGTTCACACGTCTACAGGTATGGAATGCTACATGTAGGTTTCATCTTCCTCCTTCAATATCCATGACAAAGATAATCTACCAAAGACTTTGTTGAAATTCAGTTCATACTCATATTATCTTTTTCTTCCCATTTCATTGCAAAATTAATTTTTTGGACACTTTTCATTGAAGGATTAAAATAATCTGTAAATGGTAAATGAGTTGGCAACAGTCACTCCATAAAAGTGTGGACTAACTTAGTACGTGCTATCGAAATACCACCCATTGGAATTATTATTTGATGTATCCATTCGTCCTTTTGTCGAGACTGATGATTTTACACAACTTTTTTCCTCTTTTCTTGCAGCAATTCATCAAACCACTGAAGAAGATCTTAGACAGGTCAGATATTGACAAGATTTTCCTGAATATTGAGGTAAGATGAATTATGGAAAGGACACCAGGAGGGTGCTTCACAAAGATCCGAAGTTGAACTTATCTCTTAGTTGGACTTAACAAGTTATGGAAAGCCATTAAACATCTTTGAAAATATTTTGTAAAAGTTATTCTAAAAGGCATTAAATGTTGATTCAAATCATTCATATTCTCTATAATCAAGGAGATTTCATGTTCTTGATGTTGGAATTTATAAAAAGTCTATAATACTTGGAATTTTCGCTCTCGAATATATTTTATGGGCTACAAATCAGAAATGGCTCTCCATAATGTTTAAGTCCAACTTAAAGTTAAGTTTGACTTAGGTTCTTTGTGAAACACCCCCCCCCCCCCCCCCCCCCCTGGCACTGAACTATTGTGAAAATGATATCAATCACTTGCAAGCTCTCACCAAGTTACAGGAAATGGAAAATGCTATTACTAACACTAGTGTTAAGCACTAGAACAAATGCGGTTAGTGGATGCAACAAACAATCTTTAAACAAAACAAATAATGAAAAAGTTTGATACAGCTGAATTCTTTGTAAGCCTTGACCAATTACAAAAAAACGAACGTTAATGTACAAAGAATTTAAACAAAACCTGTAATAGTGGTTAAAGCTTAGGGATTTAAAGAGATGTTTGAATGTCCTCTCTCCTTGGAAAGCCTGTAAGGGATGAGTATGCATTGATGACAACATCAAGACTTAGAATGGCTTGTAATTAGTGCCTCACATCCTCAAAATATGAAGGTTCGAAAGTGTTGTCATGCCATTAACAAGTAGTAATAATTGAGAACGTGTGCTAAATTGTTTAAAGGGTTCCGAAGTATGTCTTTTGAACCGGTATTAAAATGTACTGACGGTATCGAAAAATTGTCAAGACTGTGTACTAACTGAATATCAAAGGTACTACATGTATGTCCCAATTGAGGCCCCCAAAATGAAAAGGTTAAATTCCAATGGCATTTGAAAGATAATACTAATCTAAATAAATGAAAGGGCTTGAAAATTCTTTGAGTGGGTAAATAACAAGCATTAGTTGTCCAATCGACTTTAGTGATTGCAATCGTTTTAGTAATAGTCTGATTTTCAAACCCTTGTACTAAATGGTTGTACGTTTTGTGCTGCGCAAAGATTCAATCAGTTTAATTGTGGCTGCAAATGGTACATAGTACCTTTAAGGTCTTTAAACAATACAAGTGTTTTATAACGCTTCAAGCTGGTAAATGTTATTAGTACAGGTAATGTCATCCTTGGAAATGCTTATTGCAATAAGGCTTTGCCCCCTGAAGTACTTTTGTGGTTGTGACCTCCCCCTCCCCCCCCCCCCCCCCCCACCTTGCAAAGAGACTTCACCCACATCCATTGGTTGTTGAACTGGCAATAGGCCTCCCTTCATCAGCTCGAGATTGCCAAATATCCTGCTTTGAACTATCCCGATCGCAAATTATCCAGTTAATTTGTGTCTTCATCAGCCCAAAGTTGCAATTAGCGGAATATTTGGTCGAGATAATCATCCCAAGATATCTTGGGCTAGTTTGCAAAATATCCGCTATTTGTCCGGTTCGTCTTCACTAGCCCGAAGACTGGCACTATGCGCAAACGCTGAACAAAATGTCTCGAGCTCGAGTTTCAAGTTTCAAGGTCAAGTCTCTAGCTGATGAAGACGCGATTTGTAACTTAGGGATTATTTCCCAAATCAGAAATAAAGATTTTTGGAAATCTCAAGCTGATGGAAACAGGCCTAATATGACACCTTGATCAGTGATTAAACCAAGAGCTGTCCGCTTGATTGAATACAGGAACTTCTGAGGCGGCACCGAGGGTTCCTAAGAGACCTTGAAGATGCCTTCCGCAGGCCCACTCCGACCATGGCCCATGCCTTCAAGAAACACAAGCCAGACTTCCTCATCTATGGCTTCTACTGTGCACACATGCTCGGTGCTCAGAACCACATAGAGAAGGTCAGCAACAACCCACAAATCAGAGCAAAGATTGAGGTAAGGGTTTAGTATGAGATCAGGGCCGGTATGCAATTCAATACTTAGAATAAGTAAGAAATTTACTAAGTAAATGACTTAGCTAAGAAGGTTACTTATCTCGTATTCAAATCGCATTTTAGACTTTTACTTACCTCTGACAAAATGTGAGTAAAATGCTTACCGATAAGCATTGTGACAACACACATTCAATCAAAAGTAATGCGCAATTAACGCATCACAATAAATGCTCGCTCATATACTTGTGCACAGGTTATGATACTGCGTAAGAAAACCATATGCCTGCCAATCAAGGCCTCCAAATAATTGGCTTAAGTCTGGTAGGGAGCTGTCTTAAATTTAGGGTGAAATACTCAGCTAAAAGTTTGAGTTGAATACCAAAATTGGCTAAGTATTTTATCAAAGCCAAATACTAAGTAAAAAGTTTAAATGTACTAAGTATTGAATTGAATATGGACCCTAGGCCCTGTTTCATGAAACTTGTTGTCAATGACAAGTGGCAATAACAGTTATAAGCTACTGAAATTGTTGCATTTGATTGGCTGAGAGCAAATTTGTTACAGAAATATGGCAATTGTTATTGATAAGTTTGTGACTGATTTTGTATAATATGTGATCTGTATGGTAGAAGATAAGCATCTTGAAACGGTAGAACCACTGACTGTAATTTGTTGTTTAATAAGCGCCTTTTGTCATTTCATGGTTTCTATTCAATTCTTCTTTCTTTCCGACAGGAGTTTGAGAGGAAAGCGAATGACAGGAAATTCCGGTTGCGTGATCTTCTGAGTGTTCCCATGCAAAGAATACTCAAGTACCATCTTCTGTTAAAGGTGAGTTAATTTTGTAATTTTTTTTTATTCATTCAATCACTTTACCTTTCTGATTTCGTTTAAGGAAATGACAGGTGGATAAATAAATCTTTTTTATTGTATGCGAGAAAGTGTGTAATAGAAATTGATAAGGCAATTTTTGTTGTTGATAAAGGCATATGATAAGGGTGGACTTTGGGGTAATGCATGCAGGGAGTAACTTTACTAGCATGCTGCAATACAAAATATACTACTGATAAATGTGGCTGAAGAGATCTAGCATAACTCTAATTGTTTAAAAGCCTTGGACACTAAATGCAAACCATAGAACTTTACCACCCCCCCCCCCATAACAAAAAAGAACAACACTATTGATAAATCTCTGATTCCATGGTCAAGATCTAACTTACTTATTGTTTTCCACTTCAAGTTTGTGTGCTCTGTCAGGCTATTACAAAGTAGATCTCAATGAAACAGCTTTAAAAAAATATTGTCTATATCCTTTAATATGATTGAACATGATCATACATGTACTTTATTTCCTTATTGTTGTCCCTCATGCCACTACTGTACTTTTCCTGAAAGTTACCTGTGATAAAGCTTATAGCACATATAGCACATGACTGACCTAAAGGTTTATAATTATGATTGCAGCTTTAGCTAAATCCAGGATATTGTTTAGAATCTGAGACAAAGATACCCAATCCCTTTCATATGAAGTTAAAACTGTACAAAAATATTGAAATAAGAAAGTGGTACATGTCACTAAGTGATTGATTGAGAGACACTTTTCCATATGTGACTTGTTTTTGTATTTGGAGTGGAGTATTCTTTAGCTCGGTGTTCATGAGGTATTAATGGCTACCTACCTTTTGTTCATTTAAACAGGAATTGGTGAAGAGTACAGACAAGCAACATACAGAGAGGAAGGAGTTGGATGAAGCGCTGGATGAGATGCAGGTAGGTCATATTTATTAAAACTAAAAGTCCCTATCAAGGATATGTACGCCCTCAAAGATAAAGACCAGTTATGGTCATGCGATTGCATTGTGAAAGAAACGTTGTGAAATCGATCAGTAAAGGTTGATCATCTAGAATAGAAAGTACTACAAGGTTCTGGAATCATCAAAATGATAAGAAATTTGGCCCAGTTTTCATAAAGTTACAAGCACTGTACACAAAAAGATGTATATGGGACTACGCACACGTGCGTTTTTATCTCTCACACACCAATAGATAAAGTAATTTACCAAATCTATCAATTAGTAGGCGGTTTCCCGGCAAAATTTGTATCATCATTTATTATATAAAACATATTCTTTCACATGATTGGTAATAAGAGCTTCCATTTAATTTTTTGAAATTGGGGCGTTTCCAATACTGGTCTTTACCTTTAACAGCCTTTAATCAGAATCAGATGATGGTAATGGCGATGATGATAATGATGTTGATGGTTGTGATGATAATAGTGGTGATAATGGCAATGATGAGGATGGTGATGATGATGACGATGATGCTGATAAAGCCTAAACAAAAGATGTTGTATTACCCTTTCTGACAAAAGAAAATCTTGAAATCTACGGTCGGCTTTTAAAAATAGTTTTCTTTTTTGTTACCGCTTTTTTAGAAAGAAAAAATCATTAAAGCATTGAAAACTGAGAAATATCAGCCCAAAGAGGGAGTAAAAAAAAAAGAAAAGAAGATTTCTGAATGACCGACTCATGTTTTGGTCCCTAAAGGGCTATACAACATTAGTGGTGGTAATGATGGTGATGATGATGATGACGATGATGGTTGTGATTATAATAGTGGTGATGGTGGAGTAGATGATGATGATGATGGTGGTAATGATGATGATGAAGATGATGATGATGATGATGATGATGATGATGATGATGATGATGATGAAGATGATGATGATGATGATGATGATGATGATGATGATGATGATGATGATGATGATGGTGAAGATGATGGTGATGATGGTGATGTTGATGATGATGATGATGATGATGATGATGATGATGATGATGATGATGATGATCATGATGATAATTATGGTTGTAATGATGATGATGATGATGGTGATGATGACATGATGATGATGGTAGTGGTGATGGGGTTAATGATGATGACGATGATGATGATGGTGGTGGTTTTGATTATAATAGTGGTGATGGTGGTGGTGGTATTGGTAATGATGTTATCCTTCTCCCTTGTTCTTTCAGGATGTTTCCATGTTTGTGAATGAGGTGAAGAGGGACCATGAGCTGATGCAGACCAATGACTCAATCCAAGCAAGGTAAATAAATCTACTCTTTATTCACCATGGTTTTAAACCCTAGCACTTTGTTAGTTTGAACAGTTTGGTCAGCTACAGAGGGGAGAGTCTGAACACGTACGGACGTAACCAGAAAGATGGAGAGTTCACATACACATTAAACATTGTTTTGTTTTCATATGAGCTCATCTCATGTTTCATTGATTGATTCTTTGTCTTTGTTTGAACAGCTTAGTCAGCTACAGAGGGGAGAGTCTGAACACGTACGGACGTAACCAGAAAGATGGAGAGTTCACATACACATTAAACTTGTTTTGTTTTAATATGAACTCATTCCATGTTTCATTGATCGATTCTTTGTCTTTGTTTGAACACAGTTTGGTCAGCTACAGAGGGGAGAGTCTGAATTCGTACGGACGTAACCAGAAAGATGGAGAGTTGAAGATCAGAGTCACTGGAGCAAAGAAGAAGTGAGTCCAATTTCTCGGGTACCAACAGCCATCAAATATTCCAAATGGTTCTCGATAAGTTTGGGGTCTTGAAGGAAGTTAAATATTTAAAGGCATCGTTTTACAATGTTCAGTCTTATATATGTATAGCCCTACATGTTATCAGTGTCTGTGATATGGTGTAATATTGAAGCCCTAAAAAAATTGTGCTTCATAATGATCATGAAGTGGCTTTATTTTTTTAAAATTCTTTGATTGGCCGGTTTTACCAAACTCATTTTCCCTAACAGACTGTAGTATAATAAAACAAACGTTAGGAAAACAAAAAAATTATATTCAGTCTTCCAATCATAAATATCTTGATAATCAGACCGGCTTGTAAAAGTCATGGGAATCCAGACCTAAAGGTTTAGAATTATGATTGTAGTATGAGCTAAATCCAGGATTTTTGTTTCCAAATCTGAAGCCATGTTTATACCGAGGATGTAGGAGCAAGTTTTATTTTGAAATATTTTTCATATCATTTGTACAGTTCTAGATGGCAGACAGAAAGGTACGATTGAATTGAATTGAATTGAATTGACTCCGTAAGAGTTGTCAGTTATAAATTAAATTGGAATGAAATGTGGATTTATCTCATACAGTCTTCCCTCTTTCTCTCTATCTTTTTTTTTTCTCTCTCTCTCTCTCTCTATTGCAAGTCATTCTCATCCTTCATTATAATTCATACTGTATGTACTATAAGCTGTTAGTTTAGGTTAGATTTAATAGGTTAGTTTAGTTTAAGTAATAATGGTATACAAATAATGAATGGTTACATGAGTTCAATAGTGCGAATATTTTCATGAGTTGAAAGATTAACATTCTATTCAACGAGGCGTCATAGAATAGAATTAATGTTAATCTTTCAACGAATGAAAATATTCGCACCATTGAACGAATGAAAAACATTCATTATTTGTTTCATACAACATCAAAGAAGATCTAATAGAACGTTAATCAACAAATTATGCTTTACTCCTTATATTAAAGATAAATTCAAGTTGGATTCAAGCCTTCTCGATTACATTCAGATTGCCTTCGCGTCAGATACACGCAGGGATACGCGCGCGCACGGCAGAGAGGTACGCAGTCTGCATATAACCAAAAATGCACGGCGCATATAACCAAAAATGCACGACCGTGCAATATACCATCTATTGAATATCATGTGACCAACAATCCTCCAATCAAATGACAGGGATCCACGTAGGTGTTGTATAATTTAGTTTAATCGAGGGCTGCAAGCATTACAAGCTTCATGCTTAGGCTGTATCCCTCTTATATCATGTTAATTGTAAAAATTAGTATTGTTCTCCTATGTATTATATTATCTAGGTTCTATACTATATGAGTATTATGTATTGCACTTTGAAACGTAAATTATATCACACTGATGGACATTATGTATATTTAAAATATTTATGTTTAAAATATGATATAGAAACCAATGAATCAAATGAATCAAAAGTTACAGTATATGACACGCAAAATATTGTGCAAACTATAGTTTCATATGAAAACAACATGTAGCAAACATTTGTACCTGTGTGTGTGTTTAGTTGTATGTTTGTATTAGAAACAATTATATTTAAAATAAATTTTATTACTCAACTAAAACAGCAATTTCAAATCAACTCTGCCCATGTTTTGTTCAAAATCATGCATTTTTGAAAATTCCAAAAAAATTGCACATTGTCATAAAAGTACATGTATTAATAAAAAATAAACATAAAAGATAACAAACATTACCATCTCATTAAATATGCTTCAATCTATCACCATGCTAATTTTCACATTGGACCTTATGGGGGGGGGGGGGCATAAGATTTTGTCTTACGTATGTAAAAGTCTAAAATGCAATTTGAATACGAGATAAGTAAAGTTCTTAGCTTAACAGTTTACTTAGTAAATTTCTTACTTATTTTATGTATTGAATGCCAGCCATGGCCAACATAGCAATTGTTAAATATCGGTACTTTCTCAACTCTTTCACTCAAACAACTTCCATTTTTTCTTCTCCATTCTCTCCTTTCCGCCGTCTTGGTCTTTCAACATGAAAGTATATTATTTCATTAAACTTAAAATTTTGTTTTGCAATTTCGACTTCATCTTACCAATGCTAAATAATTTCTGCTAAAGTAGACTTACAATATGTATTTTAGTTTTGTATATGTTTATATCTCTCTATTTTTTAAACTTATTTGTAAATTGAACATTTTCAACCTACGAGCTGCTTGTTTGATGTGATTCTGCAATAAACCAAACCAATACAATGCAATACAACAGCCAAAACTAAACATTATTTTACTATGCTTGGCCAAGGATCCTCCATTTTCATGTCACAGTAGAGTCGCTTGGTTGATATGACTATAAAGGTATTACTATTAGCTGGGATGATATTCTATATTGAATAAACGATAGTGACATACCCAAGCACATACCAGGTGCATAGGGACATACTTAAAGAGAAGGTCGAGTTCTGGAAAGAGGTGAAAAATAACTACATGTATGAGCGTTATCATTGTTTTTATGCTAGTGTGTAAGAACATCAGATAAAAAATGTTCCCTGAAAAGCATGGCTCCTCAAATGCCTTCACATTCTAAATATGGCATGTAACAGCATAAAAATCGGGACAGATTTTTATGCCACATGTTTGTGTAGTCCCATATACATCTTTCTGTGTACAGTGCTTGTAACTTTAACAAGACTGGGCCAAATTTCTTATCATTTTGATGATTCCAGAACCTTGCTGTACACACCAATGCTTATAGATGATCATCCTTTTCTGATCAATTTCACACCGTTTCTTTCACAATGCAATCGCATGACCAGAACTCAACTTTATCTTTTATTAATGTGTTATGCACTATATAAGAGTGGTATTATTATCATTATTTTTATTTAAAAAACATGTCTAATCAAATCAAATCAAATCAAATCAAATTGTATTTCTTCTTTTGTCTTTCTCACAGTGCCGCACAAACAAGATACTGCTTCTTGTTTGACAAGGTCCTTCTGGTCTGTAAAAGTGGTGGAAGGGTAGGTCACAATACTTGTTTCATTACTCAAAAGAAAAATCAGAGAAAACAAGAATAATTACCCCCCAAAAGAACAAAAAAAATGCATATATACGTAATTTCCTAATCACATGCTTACAACTGGAATTCTCACTTGCAAATACAATGATGAAGCAATTTTATATCTCAAATTTGTTTTTAAGTTGTTTTCTGTTCATGATAAAACTGCGTCCTTTCTCTTAATTCTTTTGTTCAACAGGATTTTTGTTATGTTGATGTTTCTAGCAACCTTTTTTTTCCTTCCGTTTTAATAGTGGGGTTTAGTTTTTAACACTTTGCTATTATGGATGAACACTTACAGGCTTTCGGAAGATAACTTTATGAATATTGATATTGTTGTAAACAAGGAACAGAAACAGGAAAATGATATGGAAATGAATTCTAATGAACATTTGTGTTAAGCATTTACGTTACTTATTCATTTTCCATTTCTTTTTTGACTTCCTGCTATTGTTTTTTTAATTTTGAAAGTAAAATGCAATGAAAGAAAAAATATTTTTGCAACTTTAAAGTGAAAAGATTTCCGTTAACACAGATTATTTTGTTGCTCCCTTTCACTTTACGAGTCTTAATTTCTTGTCATTTACAATTCATTCTCCTTGGTCTACGTGAACTGTTTTTAAACGTGGGATACGAAATGTATCTTTTCGTGCACCCGTGCTCCAAAGTATCATATTTTGAAGCAATGCCATGCCTGGTTGTTCAATACAAAAGCTTCTTAGATTTTCGATTTATTTTAAGGAGGAAATATGCGTAAAGCACTTGATGAGACATTTACGAATTTGTGCATAAGAATGTTTATAACACTCAATAACATTACTATATTTAATGAGATTTGCTAATAACATATACAACACAGTACCACAGCACAGTGTGTTCTAAGATAATGCTGCAATCTCCATTAGAACTCACGCAGTTACATGTTTTTGTGTGCCATTCGTATGTAAAGCCTGATTATATATAGTATGTGCCAGTATTATTGCAGGGAATGGCTGATGAAACACAGCTAGAGAGGTAGCAAGTCTTGCATTTGACATGGCTCTTTAATAGCTGCACTGATGTAATTATTACTGTTAGAGTTTCATAGAGCTGCATGCGTGCTAGGTCTTTAGCGACTTACATGTAGTTTCTATATGACATGCAAATAGATGAGGAATCGCATGGATACTAGATGGTTCCATAAATAACAATTGGGTTTGCCTACTGTTTGTTATATGTCTTTTCTTTATAATGACTCTCTTTCTTGACTGTTGATACTAGGACATATTATGATTATTGTTATTATTATATTTTTTTATTCTTTTTAAAAACTAAACTGCTCTCAATTATATTTATAAAAGTATGTTATATAAGAGTGTTGATAACTAAGTTTGTAAGAGTTCAAAAGCTAAGACTCTAATACCATTTAACTTGTTTTTGGCTGTTGGGGTTGATGATGTGATTAGAGTGGGGACAGGGTTTATTTTAATGTTGATATTTCATAACTTTCTGTTTTTTACATGTAAGGTGTGAAGTTAAAAAGCTTTCATATTGTTTGTTCTATCATCTCTGTTATTCTGGGAATTCTCTACTCGTTTCATCAACCTTGTTTATAGTGGAATCCCGTGGATTCAAAAAATCATTAGCCTAGGTGGACCAAGGGAAAACAGATTAGATGATCTAAAATATATTGGACACATCTGAAAGACTTCTTCTAAAATACCAGTACTGGTACTCAAAATAATACCTCTGACTTCATTGCAAATGATTTTGGCAAAGCTGAATAGTTTTGTGAAGAAAGTACTGGCTTCTGATTTCATTACATGAAATTTCAGTACTCTAGTTTACTTTCTTGGAACCACTGCCTCAAATAGGCAAGAGTTTGCAGAATGATGTAGCCGGGGTAGTACCTTGCCTGTCTCTCTCTCTCTCTCTCTCTCTCGAATAATCCATATATATTCATGGATATTCTTTCCTCGTCTTCCTCCAACCCTCCTCCTTTGACTCTCTCTCTGACTGTCCACCATGGACTCACTTTCTGTTCTCATTCGTAGCTAAACGTGGAGAAGCTATGGGTAGGTATACTGCCTTGTTCTGGAATGCCCCCCTCCTCTCCTCTCCTCTCCATCAGCTAGCTATATTCCATCCATCCATCTGTGTCTGATTTGAATTCATGCATCTTTTTCTTCCTCGTAGTAGAGTGCAGAGTCTTCATGTTCCTTTTCTTTGCAATCCCCTTGAATCGACTTTTCCATAATGGCTTGACGTCATCGCTTGTTTTTTCTGTTTTTAAATGTTTTCTTGTCTTTGATGTTCAATCCTGCATGGCTAGATGTATTTTGTTGCATGCTTTACTCTGTGCGTGCATACTAATATCAACAAGGCTCTAATATTCGTCTTTTCGGTATGCTGTGCGTAGGATTAAGAATCAAAGAGGCCTTAAATGAGATACAAGCATGTGACGGTTAGTGTCGTTTACAAAAAGTCGGTGCCATTCCTGTCAAATTTGTGCCGACACAAAAAGATTTTGCGCAAGTAACTTGGCGGGCAAAATTTAGCCGTCTCAATACTGCTGCATACATGAAGTTGTGTACCGACTGTTTGTTTTTATCTTCTATTTCGGATTGTACTCTAAAAAAAAAATGCTTGCTGTCAATACATGTGAGAGAGGTCGGTTCCCAATGTGGAAGTGGGTTCATTGTGCTTAAAGACTGTCTTATGACACTCCTTAGGGTTGAGAAGAGAAGATGGAGATATCTAAAAATAATTATTATTCAAAGTTGGTTGAAAGATACAGAAGTGAAATGGATTTTTTTTTAAAGCCCTTTGCTGCCGAAATGCATGTATAAAGCAATATGAAGAATAAAGTATACCTTTGAAAATTAATCTTTAAAGGTAAAGACCAGTTTTGGAAACGCCCCCTCTCAAAAAATGAAATGGGAGCTCCTATTATCAATCATGTGAAAGAATATATTTTGACTAATACGTGATGATACAAATTTTGCCGAGAAACCGCCTACTAATTGATATATTTGGTAAATTATCATATCCGTTTGGACCTGATAGATATCGCGCACGTGTCATGTAGTCCCATATACATCTTTCTGTGTACAGTGCTTGTAACTTTACCAAGACTGGGCCAAATTTCTTATCATTTTGATGATTCCAGAACCTTGCAGTACACACCAATACTTATATGCTAGATGATCAACCTTTTTTTATTGATTCCACAATGTTTCTTTCTCAATACAATCGCATGACCAGAACTGGTCTTTATCTTTAACAATGCCATTTAAAATGCATGCCAATTTTGCCTAACCATTCTAATAAGACAAGAAAAAGAAGCAATATGAAGAAGAAAAAAAGCATACAGCTTATCTTTATCTACAAAGTATAACAGAGAAATGAGATTAAAGGCAATACAAAGTTTTGGTATAGGGTCATGAATTTGGTTCAAATGAACATATTGGATGCATATGTGATCCTGCAATATTCAGTGATCGCTGTCGCGGTTGAAATCAAGTCTAAAGTTATGAAATTGTAAATAATTAACTCTTTATGTTGTGTAGCTCCCTCTCAAGGTCAACATATTAATCAAGCTATAAAACAATGTTTCTTGACTAAAATTGACCGAAGAGCTACATGTATTCTCGTTTGGAAATTATGTATCACAACTACGTATTCTGAGATTTTCATGGTCGCAGCTACCATTGTTCGGTCGTAGGCGCTATTTGAAATTTATCAAAATTTACCAGGAGCACCGGTAAATTTTTATATTCAATTTTTCTCGAAAGCAGAAGTGTTTGAGGAGCTAAATTTTCTAGTGCTTATAATACATCCACAGGGGCATCCAAATATATCAAAATTGTAAAGAATCACTATCCACCCAATTTTCAAAATTTCCCAAAACTTTGTATTACCTTTAAGCTAACTTATGGCACAAATAAATGAGGTAGTAGGAGGAAAATATGGAAAACTGCTCAACAGCTTCAAAATGTTCAAAAATACATTTTAAATCAAATAATAAACTGCATGCATACGCAAATGTCTGCTGATTCCATGCATATCCCAGTATTGCGAATGTATGTGACTGCATGATTGTACACTGTATTTATGTGCATCTATATGAACAAAGTTGTTTGCATTGCATGATGTCAGAATTGCAAAGCCTATTAGGGTAATTACACATGGGAGAAAAAAAATATATTATTGTGATTTAAAGTGTATTAATGCTTAACCTATAATTTTTATGCAAAATATGTCTCTATTTGAAGGAGTAAAGTAGGATACAAGTTTCTCAGCCACTATTTAAAATTCAGAAATGCATATATTGAAGGTTTGAAGGAGGGGAAGTTTTAAATTCTCTGATTCATTTCTGTCACCAACATTCTTTTGGTACAGGAGTAAATTTGGGTCAAAGAGGAATCGGTTGTTTTTAGATAAAATTTATATCATTCAGTAGTTTCTGTGAGAATCACACACTAGTCTATGTACTTCAAACTTACAGCCTCCAACGACCAACGCTATGTACACAATGTACAAATTATATTAATAACACGGTTAACACCCATGTGAAATTGCTCTGATATGAAATATTGTTGTTTCCTTCCTTGTATTAAGAGCTACCTTTCAATGTCCCACCAATGTGTAACAATAAATGAATTGATGACATGTACTCTAGTGGTTGGCGTGTTGTGAAGTGACCTGTTTTTACAATATAGTACTTGTTTTGATGTTTAATTGTTGTTTTCCTTGTCAAATATTGTAGTTTATGCATTTACCCAGTCAGTGTCAAACACTCAAAATATCCTTGTCAATATCTACAATACAGAAACCTCTAATTTAGCTTTGCTCTTTAAGAAACAAAATAATAGATAAATACACAGTATACATAAACACAAATAGATATTTGCATCCCAAGCTACCCATGTTTAAAGGTAAAGACCAGTTATGGTCATGCGATTGCATTGTGAAAGAAACGTTGTTGAATCGATCAGAAAAGGTTGATCATCTAGCATCTAGCATCTGCAAGGTTCTGGAATCATCAAAATGATAAGAAATTTGGCCCATTCTTCGTAAAGTTACAAGCACTATACACAGAAAGATGTATATGGGACTACCCTATATCTCTCACAGTCCATGAGAGAACCAAATTTACCAAATATATGAATTAGTAGTCGGTTTCCCGGCAAATTTTTTATCATCATGTATTAGTCAAAACACATTCTTTCACATGATTGGTAATGAGAGCTTCAATTAAATTTTTTGAAATTGGGGCGTTTCCAATACTGGTCTTTACCTTTAAGTGGGTAGATTGAGTATAGACAAGATAGGTTCTTGATAAACCTTGTACTATCTTTGCAGATAACATGAATACCTTACCTTATCATAATTGGATTTAGCGAAGAGAAAAAACAACATGTAGACATAGCTTGTTATGTAATGTATGAGCAAACTGTGAAAGATCCAGAGACCTGTTTCACAAAGCCTTTTTTCAATGACAAAGAACAAAAATCAGTGAAAAATCTGCTGATAACCGATCAGAAGCAAAGATTTCAGTAGCTTATAACAAAAACTGTAATTTGTCACTGATGACAAGTTTTATGAAACGCCCCCCTGTGGAGGCTTGAAAGGATTGTGGGAATGCTATGTGAACAATGTATACATGTATATAGCTTTTTTTTTTAGATCCAAATTCTTTTGAACACTTTGAGCTAGAAATTGAAAAATGTGCATAAGCATAGAAAATTAGAAAAGAGGGATTTATAAGATATGTTATGGTTTCTTTCTAGTAGATGTATCTTTAGGCATCAAAGAAGCCAAAGAGTAAGACAATGTATGAAAGTAATGATTTTCTATAAACAAATCTTTGAGTCTGATTAATTGTTCTATTTTCTCAGAAACCATGTACGGTTGATCATAAATTTCGTTAAGACATATGTTAACCTATCAAATACAATTATTTACTGTATATCATATTTTGAACATTCTAAGATTTCCTGTATAAGGCCCATACATGTATTTCACCTAAAGTTAAACTTGATGCAGGGATTTTATGTCAAGTTTTTTTAATGAAAAAAATGGTTGGTCCATTTATTTTGAACTTGATTTTAACCAGGCATACACCGAGCAGCAACTTTGACATCTTTAATTGAATACTTGACGGAGGCAAACAAACTACCTGTTGATTATAAGAATCCACATCTTGAAAACTTGAGGGGGGGGGGGGGGGCTTGTTTCTCAAAGACTCAGATCGACTTTAACTTGGGCTTAACTATGGCAGGCCGTTCATGCCACTGTTTGCTCTCGCCGTTTACTGGCATCGGTCTCTCAAAGGATGTACAAATCATGGTAAAAAAATCTACAGAATATACATTTTTAGATGATTCATTATTGAAGGAAAATATATTATCTAAAGCATCATAATGGTACGAGAAAACAGTGGCATGAATGGCCTGCCATAGTTAAGTCCAACTTAAAGTCAATCTTAGTCTTTTTGAAACACCCCCCTGAACCAAGTGAAGAAAAAATACCTAGCATTGAATTCAAAATTTGATGTACGATTTTCGCTATACAGTTAAAGGTTATAAGCAGCCTTTTGGAAGTTTCTTATTTCATTAGCTGCTTGGAAAACAATGTATTTCTTTTTATATAATCAGCTTCTTTTCAAGATAATTAAAAAAAAATGTTATTCTTACAATGTTCTATTCAAGTTTGTACTTTAGTAGATTAGTGTCATAATCCATCCATTCGACGGCTGATTGAATTAATGGATATCCATTAAACATGGTCCAAAATGCTTAAGGGGAACAAGTTTTTCTCTCATCCTGATAATAGAAAGTATCTGACTTGATGTCGATGTCGATATTGATGTACCGGGTTTAATATATTTGTTTTCTTTTTCTTGAAGTGTGGTAATATAATAGCGGATTAGCCTTGACAGGCCTTTGTTGATCCCTCACATCCACCACCCTTCATCCTTCTTTCATAGTACCATGTCAATGAATGTTTTTATATTTATATTGTTTAATTTATACTGATTTGTTTGAATATATTCTGATGAATTTTTAAAGAGATGTGAAATAAAATTGGATCGAATTGAATTGAATATTTACAGGGCCAGGAGAGCCATGAGTACAACGACACCATTGACCTAACCCAGTACAATGTGGAGAATAACTTACCAAGTGGCAGAAGTGGACGGGTAAGTAGCATTATGTATGCAAATATCCTGCATGATCTGCATTGTATTCTTAAAACACTCTGTCTGTTGAGTTCTAAAAAAATTGGAAAAAATGGTGAAACTGAGATTTGTCTATAATTACTTAAATTATGAACATGATCATGTTGTACATTGGAGTGACTCTGGCCATTTTCATTTCAGATGGTATTATTTCTGTACATAAAAACATACATGTATTAAAAATATGAATAAGAGATTCTAAAATATAATCAATAATTTTCTTAATTACATACATGTATAGATTAAAATGATCTATTCCACAACTTTGAGTACTTTTAAATGATTGCACGATTGTAGTTATTTCATTTGCATTAACAGGTTTCAAAAATAAAGGTACAGCACATAGTTCAGGCAAGAAATCTCTATAATTTACAATATTATTTACAGGAATTGTATTGCATATATTCAATCCAATATCAATGAAAAAATCATTAAAAGAATTTTTTAATATCATGTGGATCATGCATTTATGCTTTCTCAGCAGTCAGGTAAAATAACCACCACCATATATTTTGTCCATTTACTATAAAATATGAAGGCAAAGTCTTCCTAGATTTACAAAATATCTCATTTATTACAAACCATGTTTGTTTTATATTACCGGTACCTTGTGTCTTCTTGAATCTTTGTGCATAATATGCCTTGCGTGCCTTTTTCAATAATTTGTTTATCTTGCTGTGAGCTTTATGATACTTAAGTTTATTATTTTTCTTCTTGACATGCAATTCCATTTTTATTAATAATTTCAATAAAAAAACATACATTACCATCGCATTCCAATGGGATATCATTATATTATTTTGTAAAATCCAAATAGTCCAAAACAAGAAAAGCCGCTCCTCCTCCTCTACCACTTATACGATCAGAATGAATGAATGAATATCCTTCTAAATGAAATAAAATGGGTGTATGGTGGTGGCTATATAAAAATTAAATATTATTATATTATTATTGTATCCCCCGCCAGTATGCCGGTGGGGTACTTTGGATTCAGCAGCGTTACACCGCCGCCGCCGCCGCGTCATATTCTTGTGTGCGCTCTCACTGCCACATTTCTTGATGGATTTCTTTGAAATTTTGTATGGAGGTGTATCCTGGTATAATCTACATACCTATAACTTTTGGTGATGCTGCCCCCAGTGTTCCGCCTTCTATAGGGTACAAGGCCATATTTTTGTTTGTGTGCGCTCTATAGGCCACATTTCTAAAGGGATTTTGTTCAAATTTTGAACAAAGGTGTATCTTGGTATAATCTACAAGCCTATAGATTTTAGTGATGCTGCTTCCAATGTTCCGTCTTTTATAGGGTCAAAGGTCATATTTTGATATATGTCTTGTGTGCACTCTAGTGTGCGCTCTAACTGCCACATTTCTCTACGGATTTCTTTCAAATTTTGTATGGAGGTGTATAAATGGAACTTTTTTCATCAATTGCACCATCTTTTTCATGGGTTCAATTGTTATATTTTCTTTGCTGTTTTGCATGCACTCTGCCAGTCACATTTTTCTACAGATTTCTTTCAGATTTGTATTAAGGTTCATTATAGTTTACTCTAGACCTCCACAAATTTGGTGCTGCTACCCCCCAGTATTCCATCTCTTATACATGTAGGGTCAAAGGTCATATTTAAAGGAATATCTTGTGTTGCTATGCAAATCACATTTCTTTCAAGTTTTCTATAAATATGCATCATAATCTGATCTACACACCTATTGTTTTGGTGATGCTGCTCCTAGTCTTGACAATAGTCTGAGCCACTTGCGGCAATCTCTACGTCATCCTTTTGTTTCACAAAGAGGAGAGGGAATCTTTGTCCCTCCTTCCACATAAGGATAACACAAAATCGCTGCCACTGCCGGGGGATACATTCGCATTGCGCGGCAATACAGATTGCGATATTTCTAGTTATTATTACTTTGAATCCATGTTTTTGTGAAACCATAAATAGAAAAAGTGTAACTAAATGAAAAAGTGTAACTAAATGAAATGAATAAAATCACTTATACATGTAGCTAAGAAATTCTTGAATAAACTCCTCCCATTAAATATACGACACTATAAATCAGAAACTAATTTTGGTAAAGACATAAATTCATCTTCCAAACAATAATTACTTTTAATTATTTTATCCTGTAAATTACCTTCATTGTCACTGTCACATGCTGGATCACAAAGTTGTTAAAGATAAACTTGAGTTCTGGTAAAAAAAAAGAAAATGAATTCTCACAGAATCAAACGAAACTTACACTGAATATTCAAGATTACAAATAAATGTCATGTGCTAAACAATTTTGGAAGAAAATGTATACTGGCTGAGTAATGAGCATAGAAAGATAAGAAAATCAGGTAGTACTAGCCCCGACACCATTTGTGTAGTCCCATATACATCTTTCTGTGTACAGTGCTTGTTACTTTACCAAGACTGGGCCAAATTTATTATGATGTTGATGACTCCAGAACCTTGCAGTGCACACCAATACTTACATGCTACATGACCAACTTTTTTTGATCCATTCCACACCTTTTCTTTCACAATGCAATTGCATTACCAGAACTCACCTTTATCTTTAACTGCACTTACATATTATTGAAGTCCTACTTTCGTGAATTGTATTTTAAAGTGGAACTTCTGCTTTCATCTGACGGCAAAAGACAAGACTGGCTCCAGGAGCAACATTGAGGTGTACTGTAAAACTGAAGAGATGATGCTGAGATGGGTGGAAGGAATTCGCCTTGCCCAGTAAGTATCATCATTTGGACATAAACACTTTTTTTTTTTTGGGGGGGGGGTGGGGCGGTGGGGGGGGGGGGAGGGGGGAGGGGGAGGGGGGAGGGGGAGGGGGCAGTGGAGGGGGGAGGGGACATATATATATATTTTTTTTGGGGGGGGGCAGTAGGGGGGAGGGGGGGGATGGGGGAGGGGGGAGGGGGGAGGGGGGAGGGGGGATGGGGGAGGAGGGCAGTGGAGGGGAGGGGGAGGGGACATATATTGTATATTTACAAAAAATAGCCAGTTCTGGTAACAACAGATAGTTTTTGACAGCTGGTCAAACCAAGCAGTCCCTGTAAGGATAGTACCAAATGATGTTATGTATTTGTTAGGCTACATGAAACTTGGTAGTTGTATAGCATGCAAGTCAATTTCAAAGCACCATTTTGAAGATACTTTGTAGATTCAAAATTCAGTGGTAAAAATACTTTGTTGGAACTGAAGAAATAAGCATCGAATTTGAATAAGTTTTGGTGAATAACTTGATGACATATGTATTGTAGCTCCCATTTGGAGACCCATTTTTCTATTTTGTTCTGTTTATTTCTTTCTCTTTCACCCTCGCCTTGTACCCTCTATTGTGGCCTTAAAATGACTATGGTTGTTCCATTTATCACTCTTCTTATTTTGTTTCTTAGGGACAACATCCTTCCAAGGACCACCAAGGGACACACAGTAGAATACACATCCTTCAAGGAGTCTACAACGTGCGATTCATGCTCAAAACTTCTCAGGTAACATCATATTTTATCATCTATAAGCACGAGGGTAATTATTGTATGAAGGAACAAACAGTGAAACCTCCCAGGAGGAACTCGCTGGTTCAAAACCCAGCTGATGCTCTTGTTCCCATTAGTAAGGCATTCATCCTCAGTTACCATACCATGGACTTCTAAAAGGCTTGTGGTCCACTTTTTGAACATCTTTACGGAAAAGCATAGACATGTACATGTACTTTCCTCTCTTGTCAGTCGTAAGACATTTTGCAGCTATATGGACAGATCAAAGATAAGAAAAGGCCATTAAAGAGTGTCATCTGACACAAGATGTGTTCATAATAATATTGAATACATGTATTTAGGAGCTCTAAAATACATAAGTACCATAGTCCCTACAAATACAAATATATGAAAAGTCTCACAGGAAGTAGATCTCATAGGTCATTTGGGAAAAGGGTAAGTTTTGAGGGATCTTTTGAAGGTGGCAAGACAAGTAATTTCCCTATGGAAAGGGGGATGCTATTCCATGTCTGTGATGCAGCTGCTGAGAGTCTAGATTTGGGAATGTTACCTGATGCAGTTTGGGTAACAATAGTGACCATCACCTTTTGGTTCACCCATATTTATTACAGAGGCCTGTTCTTCCAAGGGTACAAGTGCACGACGTGCGGTATCTCGGTACACAAAGAGTGCATCAGTTCCAACCACACCTCCTACTGCAAGGACCAGTCAGGCGGCAAATCCAACGCGCCCTCAATGTTCACCGGCCAACAGCTCAGGGTCTCCAGGTCCTACAAGGGTGCGCCGATGCCTCCCAACGGGGAACAGCCTCTTATCGTGTCGGGCGGATCGCAGGTGGTCGTGCTGGAGAACATCGGCAGTGACTGGAAGCGAGTCAAGATGCTGAGCCCGCCAAACCAAATTGGGATTGTACCATCAGTTTACCTGGTTAGTATGCACAACAGGGGCCCGTTTCACAAAACTTGTCATCAGTTACAAGTGACAGTCCTTGTTATAAGCTACTGAAATCCGTGCTTCTGATTGGTTAACAGCAGATTTGTCACTAGTTTGGGTCATTTGTCATTGAAAAAAGGCTTTGTGAAACGGGTCCCAGCTTACATGCATTGTTTTGGAAGGCTTTGTTTTTTCTTTAATTTTAAAATTGCATTTCAAAATGAAATTATAACATTTACTTAAAAAATATTTTGGGTACAGCTGTATGCACTGAATTGACCTCCCAAAACTACCTGGCATTCTATTGGTGAACAATTAAAGGGCAAGTCCACTCCAAAAAAAATTACTTTCAATAGAAGCAGAAAAGTCAGACAAACCAATCATAAAAAGTTTGAGCAAAATCGGATAACTACTAAAGAAAACTTTGAAGATCACAAGACAAATTGGCAACTCACTCATGAGTCTGTGACGTCATTGCCTCACTGTCCGCTAATTGTTTTCTTTATATTGATAATATAAATTTCCAAAATATTTGATGTATGCATAGCTAACCACCCTGCTTGTATTCAACCTTTCTCTTTAAACCCACTTCAGATGGAGAATTATGAGCCAGTTGATATTTCTCCCCCTCAAGGATTTCGACAACAACCGCCAACGCAAACACCAAAAGCACCCGAAGTATCAGACTTATTTCAATACCCTTGGTAAGTCGTTCAATTCTAGGCTCTTTCATCGCAGCGCTTGCTTCACTTTGAATGCACTTTTGCAGAGGTGAAAGGCTTAAAGATAAACTCCAGTTCTGGTAAAAAAAAGAAAATTAATTCTCACAGAATCAAACGAAACTTACACTGAATGTTCAAGATTACAAATAAATGACACGTGTCAAACAATTTTGGAAGAAAATGTATATTGGCTGAGTAATGAGCATAGAAAGACAAGGAAATCAAGGTAGTACTAGCCCTGACACCATGTGTGTTGTCCCATATATAGCTTTCTGTGTACAGTGATTGTTACTTTACCAAGACTCGGTCAAATTTATTATTATTTTGATGACTCCAGAACCTTGCACTGCACACCAATACTTACATGCTACATGATCAACTGTTTCTGATCCTTTACATACCTTTTCTTTCACAATGCAATCGCATTACCAGTACTAAAGTTTATCTTGAAAGTGACTCAGTAACATTGGTGAAGGTTGATGAAAAAAATGTGTAATTTTTGTATGAAATGTTACTTATTATATTCCTTCTACTGGATGAGTTCATTATACGATCTATCTGCACTCTAGTTGAGGCTGTGTGTGTCTATCGCAAGATCACACAGCATCAACGAGGGCGGGTTGATCATATAATGAACGAATGAAAACATGCATCATTTGTTTTATACAACAAAACTCCTAGATCCTTGTTATTTGATGTAAAAAGAATTCATTCAAGATTGTTTCGTGACAGTATGGATGACAAATATATCTCGAGTTTAATAAGGCTTAATTTAGTGCGCAAACATAGATTTAGTAAGCGCACTTACCTCTACACCCATTTACGCATAGTGCTTCGCGAGAATAGGCCTATGCACACACAGTAAGCACTCTACGCGCACTACTTTGCATCATGTAGATCACGGGTGGCCAACCTTTTAAAGCTCGCGGGCCACATCTAACGATTGTCATAACTTGGCGGGCCGTAGGCCAGGCCCGGGGGGAGGGGGGGGTAATCACATATTGAGACATACGGGGTGTGCCGCTCTACTGGGTAACCTTTTTTACAAAGAGAATCCCTAAACTTGGGTCCCATTTTTAACAGAAATATCCTAAATATGGGTCCGTGTTTTCAAAAAATTTATTTAAAAAAAATTCAGGGTTTTAGCCATGCAAACACCCGAAATTTTTATAAAATAGGCTTTACTTTCAACAAAAATCTGCCAAAACAAGGCAACCCTTAAAAATGGGTAGAGGTTACGAGGCTTCAGCGGCACACCCCGTCAAAACCAAATCTGAAATCCCCCCCCCCCCACACACACACACACACTCATGTACACACCTGCAATTTTGCAAACAACAAAATCAGTCGAACAAAATCAGGCTTACTTTTTTAGTGTGATTTCTGGCTGACAAAATATGAGGCAAAGTTGTTTACCTTTCTCTTCTATGAAGAAATACTTCAGAGATCAATCCGATTTAAAGTTTCTGTCTTCATCAGAAACTTTCCTTGTCTTCGCACGTCTCGAAATCGATGCCATGTTGGTTGTTATTTCAAACAAAATCAATGACACAGCAGAAAGAATATAAGGGGACTATCCACGATTAAGATTAATGAAAAAATTAAACGGCGGGAGAAAAGGGTTGTTAGTTTTAAGACAAGTATGGCATTTCAAACATATTTCTTGATTCACGATCGATTGGGCAAAAAGAATTTCCATTTTCGGTTTAACTTAATAAAATTTGGAGTGGATTTTAAAAGATTATTATTATTGTTATTATTTGTATATTTACAAAGCTTACTGCATGTGGAAATAACAAACTGAAATTAACACGGCGAGTGATGTTAATGTCGTTAATGTAATGTAATGAAAGGGAATTTGAGGAGTTTTGTATAAGCCACGTAACGAATCAATATGTTGTGAATGATGAAAAAAAATTATGGAAATAGAGATAGCTGTGTGTAAATGTTTTACTCTATTTCATCGCTGTTATGCGGGCCGCATTTCATTCATTAACTATTTTTATAATTACTTTTTCAATGCTCCGCGGGCCGCAGGTTGGCCACCCGTGATGTAGATGTACTAAAAAACGTGTGATAGTATGGAAACTATTGGACGCTTTTCCATAAAAAAAGTGTGATAGTCTCAGTATTAAATAGATCACACATGACTGCGCATGACCAATCATTTGATTAGGATCTGGGAGTAAGTTGTATAATTACAATTATACTTTTTACTCTTAGTCCTTTTCTTTTAGTCCCTCTCTCCAATATTTCCCCTCGGTTTGTGTTGTAGCTCTTGTTCATTCTTTTTCCTGTTCTGTTCTTCTTCCCTGCTACCATCCAATATTATATAACAGGTTTATTGGGGAGATGGAGAGAGATAAAGCCAATGACCTGCTCATAACTAAGCCTGGATGTTTCTTACTCAGGAAGAGTAAGAGAGGATATGCTGTCAGCTTGGAGTAAGTTTTCTCTCCTTAAAGGGATCGTTTAACAATGTTAAATCTGAGATACACGGCCCTACGTGTTATTAGTGTCTGTGACATGGTGTAATATTAAAGCCCTAAAAAAATTGCGCTTCAAAATGATCAAGAAGTGCCTCAAAAAAGTAAAAATCTTTGAGTGACCGGTTTTACCATACTCGTTTTCCCCAATAGACTGTAGTGTTATGAAAACCGTCAGGCGAACGGTTTTCAAAATTTGTAATTCCAATCATAAATATCTTGATAATCAGACCGGCGATCGGCTTGTAAAAGTCCTGGGGTTCCTGACTGACCTAAAGGATTATAATTATCATTGCATCATGAGCTAAATCCAGAATATGTTTTCAGAATCTGAGACAAAGTTACCGGATCCCTTTAATCCCCATTCTAAACTTTTTTACTCTGGTATTTAATTTATTTTATAAAGACCAGTTCTGGTCAGGCGATTGCATTGTGAAAGAAATGTTGTCGAATCGATCAGAAAAGGTTGATCATCTAGCATATAAGTATTGGTGTGTACTGCAAGGTTCTGGAATAATCAAAATGATAAGAATTTTTTTGAGAGGGGGGCGTTTCCAAAACTGGTGAATACCTTTAAATGGTTTAATTCATTAAAAAAATTTGTTTCCCAAGAGACTAATTGCAAGTTCTTTTCTACAAGGTATACATCAGTGACAAAGTAAAATTACATCTAATACATATTATGGTAGAGACCAATGCCAGTATTAAAATGGCGAGAGCAAACAGTGGCATGAATGACCTGCTATAGTTAAGTCCAACTTAAATTCTATCTTAGTCTTTGTGAAACCCCCCCCCCCCCCCCCCCCCCAGGAATCAGTGAACGATTGTCAGACTGTGGATAAGTTGAAGAGAAGCTGAAACGCACCTAATGACAAGCGTTTTCTCCCTGTATTTTTGGTTTGTTTTATTCCAAGCGTCCTCGCGCAATCTCTTTGTATGCTGTTTTTTTTTAATGTATCCATTATTACATACACGTTTATTTTTTTTATAGCAGATGTTTCTGCATTTATTGATAAATCAAATATAAAACATTCAAATAACAATAATAGTATATAATATAATTGATTTACATAAAGAATGACAACTTAAATACACACAAATAGAAAATGCATAATTGAAAGCTTGAACGTATCAAGGTAAGTAAAAATAATCAAGATAAATGCAGAGGCCAACTATCATAAGCAAGAATGCTTGAGGCGATAGCAGCAAACACAATTGAGAAAAAAATCACAGATCAGGGAAAAAAACAGGCAAATGAAATGGCACAAAAAGAAAAGATAGTCTGTTAACATTTTTTAAAATTAAAATCTTTACTGTGTATATACATTTTTAAAATGTTTCACGCTGAAAATCGCTGGAAATAATGATCCTGGAAGTATTTGAAACAATCAGAGAAAATCTGGAGAAAAAATCAGGGACAATCAGGAAAATTTGTTTTCATGAAATGTTGTTAAACCCTTTTTGATTGTGGAAGGCATCATTGACTTGTGAGAGTTTGTTTGTTTGATTGTTTGTTTGTTTATTTGTTTGTTTGTTTGTTTGTTTGTTTTTGTAATGGTAGACATGAAGGCAATATCAAGCATATGAAGGTGGTGATGGAGAACAATCAATTTGGACTAGCAGAACAAACAACCTTCTCTTCATTACAAGTAAGTCTAGTAGCCTCTACTCTTCTAATCTTCTACTGTTTCTCCTTCTTTCTCCTCCTACTAAGTCTAGTAGCCTCTTCTCCTCTAATCTTCTACTGTTTCTCCTTCTTTTTCTTTGCCATCCCTCATTTTGTATTCTCTCCTTTTTTTTCTCATCCTCCTCCTCCTCCTTCCCCTGTTTCTTCTTCTTCTTCTTCTTCTTCTTCTTCTTCTTCTCCTCTTCCTCCTCCTCCTCCTCCACCTCCTCCTCCTTTTTCTACTACTTCTTCTTCTTCTTCTTCTTCTTCTTCTTCTTCTTCTTCTTCTTTCTTCTTCTTCTTCTTCTCCTCTTCCTCCTCCTCCTCCTCCACCTCCTCCTCCTCCTCCTCCTTTTCTACTACTACTTCTTCTTCTTCTTCTTCTTCTTCTTCTTCTTCTTCTTCTTCTTCTTCTTCTTCTTCTTCTTCTTCTTCTTCTCCTCTTCCTCCTCCTCCTCCTCCACCTCCTCCTTTTTCTACTACTACTACTTCTTCTTCTTCTTCTTCTTCTTCTTCTTCTTCTTCTTCTTCTTCTTCTTCTTCTTCTTCTTTTCCCTTTCTTTCTCACCTTCTCCTTCTTTTACTCCTCATGTTTGTTGTTCCCCTGTCTCCTGCCCCTCTACCTTCTTTCTCCACCTCTCTAACTATTGTTTTTTGTTTTATTTATTTGTTGTTTCTTCTTTTCCTCTCGTATGACACGTTCCAATCTAACTGGGTCATTAGTATACAGATAATATATAGCAAGGAGGGCATTAGTAAGAATTAACCACATAAGGTACCTTTGGAACATTCACACATTGCCTCAGCGTTTGGATTGTTTCGAAGGTACCAGGTCTGGGTAATTTTACTAATGCCTGAACAAAATGATGTGTAGTATTTGTTTTATGAGATGATGTTTTATTTGTTTTTATAAAACAATGTTTTAGAACATGATTTTACTAATGACCGGTCATTAGTATATTTGGTAGGGCTGCGACGAGTAGTCGAATGCCCGAGTACCCGCAATGTTGACAACTGCTCGAGTACGATTTCTCGTACTCGAATATTCTGCCGCAAAAAAATATAAAAAATAATAAAACATTAAATTTTTTTTTTTAAATTGGACTTGGATTATTCTGCCATCTTTGGTTTTTACAACAGCAATGTTTAATGTTATTATTATTATTAAATCGGCGCGTTCAACTGCAACTCGAAGTAAAATTGCGTGAGTTGCCTTAGTGTTTGGTAATGACCGGTCCGTAGTAAAATAACGTGTTAGGCAAAATAAATGCCTGTTCACGTGTAAGCTCTCAACCCATTATTTGAATTGGATCCTCTTCATCATCTTATAAACTCTCTTTACTGATGTCTTGTAGCCTTACACTCATTCAAATGCTCCATTTCCACCTCTGCAGGAAATGATCAACCACTACGGTACAAACAGCCTTGTGAGCGTGTTCCGAGGGCTGAATGCGTATCTACGGAAGCCATACAGAGGAGGAACCATGCCCTTAACGGAGAATGGTAAGGGTCCTCATTTTCTATATGTCCTTTGGCAAGGCATTAATCTTCATTTGCCACACTCGACCCAGTTGAGGTAAATGGGTACCTGGCAGGAATCAATTCCTTGTGAAATGCTGGAGCGCTGTAATGGCAGCTAGGCTAAAGCCAGGGTAATAATAAATGCACCCCGGAATAAAATTTCTAGACAGACGGCGCTATAGAAATGCCTATTATTATTATCATTATTAATGTTACATGTAGAGGTGTCGTGGTCTAGAGAATAATTTCCGGACTGTGAACCACAAGGTACAGGGTTCAAATCTCTGCCCCAGCACTATCTTCCGCTGACGAGACATTAATCTAAGTGCTGTAGTCAAACGTTTAACCGTCCGGTATCGGACCGCCCATGGCACTATTCGTTTTCATTTGGATGGTTTTGTTTTTATTTTTTTAAGTTTCGATTTATGCCCCCCACCTGGCACTATGCCTGGCAATGTCTCCCAGCTCAGTAATTGGTGTGTTGACTCACCACTCGGAAACTAGAACAAAACTCTCAATATGTACATGTAGTTTATAAAAATCCTCTAATTTTTCTTCTATTACACATGGCGTACCACAAGGTTCTATCCTAGGTCCTCTACTGTTTTTAATTTACATTAATGATCTTACACATTCTTCTAAAAACGACATTGTTACTATCATTTGTGACAAGTTCACAAGCACAAGCACAAATCAGCGCCTTCAACTGCACCTCGCAGTTTAATGAAAGTCCTTCCCGCGTGGGTTTTTTAACATGTACCTGGCTTGCTGCCGACAAGAGTCCCCCCCCCCCCCCCAGATGTAGATTTGTGACGTCCCTTGAGAGACCAATGCCAGTAAATGGTGAGAGCAAACAGTGACATGAACAGCCTGCCATAGTTAAGTTAAACTGAAAGTTGATCTTAGTCTTGTTTCCCATGCTAAGGTTGATTTAGCAATAAAATTACTGTAACTCAGTGTAATACCGTTATGAGACTGTAATGTTTACCTTATAAACCATTATTTGTGAAAGGAGCTGGTCCCAACCCTGAAGCCGAACCTCCAACTTCTTTAGGTATGCTGTGGAATCTATTTTCTAATCTTGTGCACAACATACGGCTTACTTATCACATCTTACTTCATATACATGTACATGTACTAAGGCTGCGACGGGTAGTCGAATGCTCGAGTACCCGCACGGTTGACAACTACTCGGGTACGATTTCTCGTACCCGAATATTCGGCCGCAAAAAAAATTTAAAAAAAAATGTCCAGGCCCACGCTTACCCGTGCCAGGGAGAGCGGTGGCCACACTGTCAAACTCACCTTTCAGAAACTGGGACCAAATGTCCAGATTTCTGTTTGGACTTGGAGGAAAATGGATTATTCTGCCATCTTTGGTTTTTAAAACAGCATTGTTTACTGTTATTATTCTCATTAAATCGGCGCCTTCAACTGCAACTCAAGGTAAAATTGCATGCGTTTTCAGCGAGGGACCTGGGAAACTGCCCAGTGTATGGTAGTGGCAAAAAAAGAAAAAAATGAAAAAAAATGAAAAAATCAAAAAATCAAAAACAAAATCAAAAAATTTAAAAATTTAAAAAAAAATCAAAAAAATTCAAAGAAATTATAAAAAAACATGGCGTCTGAATATTTGAGTATTCGCTTGTGAGCCTGGGAGTGTAATCGGGTACCTCATTACACTGTTGTGCACAGCCCTAACATGTACACTCACTTTTTAGGAATAAACTGAACCTATATGAAGCCTAGTTGTATGTTTGTCTCCCATGCTATTGTTTATAATAACAACATTTCATTATAGGATTTAGTAATACAGTTAAACCTGCTTTAGTGACCACCTTTCTACAAAGACCGCATTCTTTGTTTCCCTTGAAAATGCTTTCTCATTGAAACATGTACTGAAGGAACCTGTCTACAAAGACCACTTGTTGTGTTTCCCTGGGTTGGTCGCTATAGCAGAGATGCCAACTGTTCCGTTTTTGCCATATTTGTTCCGTTTTTTCGCTATGAATACGGCAGTACGTTTTTTGTATGTTTTGTTACGTTTTTTTTAAAAAAAATTTTTTTTTTTTTAAATTTTAATTTTTTTTTTTTTTAGTAATGTTTTTCTTAATTTCTGATCATGGGCTTTGTGTCGTAAGTGTATTATGCACCTACATCTTAAAACGATGCACGCAGGAAGGTGATACGGGCCCCAAACTGCGCACATTGCGAACAACCCACATGTAATGTATGCATGTCGCGCTCCGATCCGGGTACGTATACGTGGTACTGCTTGGTTTTTAAGCTCCTCGATTGGGCGATATGTTAAGTTGAGAGATTTTTTCTAAAATACTGTTTTTTTCCAAAAATACTGTTTTTTGCTCTTAAGAATACTTTTTTTTGTTGAAGAAGGTTGGCATCTCTGCTATAGACAGGTTTGACTGTATAAACGTTTCATTATAGGATTAAGTAACATTTTATTATTTTCATTTTCTTATGACATCACCAGACAGTAGGCCTACATGTATGTGGTATCAGACAGTTTTGTCAAAATCGTTCATTATAAAGTGTAAGATCGTTCCAAAACCTGAACGTTTCCTTTTAAAAACGTTATTTTTGAAAAAGGAGCTGGTTCCAACTCTCAAGCGATACTTACAGGTATGCCGTGAAATCTTTTATTTTCTAATCTTGAGCCACAATATATGGCTTATGGCTTAATTATAATTTTTTACTTCATATACGCTCAATTTTAGAAAATTTCACTTTAATTATTATTTGGTTTCGGGAGAGTGTGTAGTCAGATTGGTAGACTGAATGCTTTACTAAGAAATGCTTGAGTATAGTACTGCTCCTTGCACTAACTCCTGATGTAGTCATGGTCATCACATCGACAAAAAAGTAACATTTTATCAGAATGCAATATAATTGATGCCTAGATAAATAAAGAAAAGAATATTTCTTGTAAAAATAGTTAATTGTGAAGTCATTTATGAAGTCATTTCAGTAAACGTATTAATGAACATGCACAAAGAAGCAACCATGATAATGAGTCACTGTGTCAGCAAATTTTCAAAAAATTTATCTATACATGTACAGTAAAGCTATTCTAAACAAAACTCTTACTGCTATTCGTTCATTAATCATAATCTCTATTTAGAAAAAGTGAGAACATGAACACTTTCATAGGAAAACGTCCTCTTAAAATCTCATATTTATTTGCATTTCATTTCAATTTAAAAATGGCTTAATTTTCATACATGATTTGCTCTAAATCGCTTTTTCTCCTTAACCAAAACACATAGGTTGTAGGTGGGAACATGGTTCTAATTATTACTCAGAGATGGATAAGTGCTAAGATTACTGACTTGTGAACAATATTAAAGATGTAGTTGAGTTCTGGTCATGTGGTTGCATTGTGAAAGAAACGGTGTGGAATCGACCAGAAAAGGTTGATCATCTAGCATATAAGAATTTGTGTGTATTGCAAGGTTCTGGAATCATCAAAATGATAAGAAATTTGGCCAAGTCTTGGTAAAGTTACAAACACTGTACACAGAAAGATGTATATGGGACTACACGAACACGTGGCGTAAAAATCCTACCCTGGATTTTTACGATGTTACAGTGTACATGACATATTTAGAATATGAAGGCATTTGAAGAGCCATGCTTTTCAGGGAACATGTCTTATCTGATGTTCTTCCACACTTGCATAATAAGAATGATAACGCTCACAAATTATTTTTCATCTCTTCCCAGAACTCAACTTTATCTTTAAATGCAGTTATCCCTTTTAGAATCTCTCTATAGATCTTCTTTGAAGGAAAGAACAGGATTGATATAATCCAATCTATTGCCTGACTTTAGGCTCTGTTACCTATCCATTACAGCCTTAGGCTTCATATATTATATTTGGCTGGGTCTCTTTTCAATTAATTAGCTAACACTAAGTGGTATTCCCGAGTAACAGGTTGAATAATTTAACCCATAGTTGATGGTTCTGCACATTTATGTGCTACGTCTGTGTAATTATTCCCTCTCATACTCAACTAAAATTGTTTGTCTAAAGTGATATTTTTGTGCAATAAGCTAAATATTTGAGGACATTTGCTCATTGAATTTTTCCTTGAATATTTAACAACATTGCCTTAAGTATTTTGATAATTAATTATCAACATCTTTTTTCTAAATTTGTTATAATATTGCTGTGTTATGTTACCATTGTTATTTTATTATTTTGCTCGTGCTCAGACTGCAACTATGAACGGGCTTATACACGAAGCTTATTCTTTGCGTTTCTTAGTTTTGAAATATGAAAGTGACAAATTAGCACTTATGAAAAGTGGAGGTGTAATGGGGTAGTGGTTTATCGCTTGACTCTCAACCCAAGGGTTAAGGGTTCAAAATCCCTGTCTTACTCTAACATCCTTTGGCAAGACATTAACCCACATTTACCACTCTCCACCCAGGTGTAAATAGGAACCTGGCATTGATCCTAATAAGGTTTTCCTGGGTAAATAAAATGACTATTATCATTATTTCAAAAGAAACAATCGGTTGCAATTTTTTTGGGAGATTTGAATACAATGTGTACGAGAAAATCCAATTTGGAAATCATCTTTCTATGTAATTGCACAATGACCACAGGTTCCACTTCTGTTGATGAATATAATATTCAGTTTGTTAAAAGGATAGCACGATAAGTGGGCCCGAACATATGGATTAAGTATAGAATCCAGATTTTTTTATTTTTTATTGTAGAAGCAAATTGAGTCATGGTAAGGAGTGTGTGATTTCATAGCATGCTGATTTATGAAATCCTGTGTTTAATTTTTTGAAGATATTCATTCATGATTGAAAGTATGTTTTAGCAGAATAAACAATGACCATATTTACATGTGTATCTTTGCTGCTTTTGCCAAATAGATCTCTCCTTGGTTAAATAGTAGATTGATTGTGTGTCTTCAGCTACATCACAAACTATTCATTCTGTTGGGAAGTGTTATTTTTTTGTGGATAAGAACTTTCACCAATGCTGCACTCTTGACTCTCACTTTCTTTATGCTACACATACCACTGATGGTAAAATGTTGAAGCCTCTAGGAATTCACTACTGTTAGTTTTGTTACCAACTCTGTGTAGAGCAATCATTATGATTTTGTTGGAATATGCATTTTAAATACATGTAGATGCCAACATATGATATCTCACACATTTGGGGAACTACCATCAACAACCATCTGTTCCAGTGTTACTAATAATACTAATAATGATGAAATAACATACATCTGTGAATCTTTATGTACACCCCTTCTTTCTTTTTTTCTTTTTTTTTCTCTCTCGCGCTCTCTTTTTTCTCTTTTTCCCCTTTTACCCTTTTACCAATATTTGTTCTTCCTTTGAGGGTACTCATGCTATCAAGCTTTGCTTACTTTGTCAACTCTTCTGTTTGATGTTTTGATTAGTTACAGCCAGCCTTACTGTATTCTATATACTCTTTTGTCATGTGTAAAATTGGCAATGATTTGTTTGTTGTATATTTGTAAAACTGCAAAACAAAAAGAAAATCAAACAGAAATATATAAATCAAATCAAATCAAATAAATCAAATCAAATCAAACTTTGCTTGATTTCAATGATGCAGGTGTGAAGAACAACTGTTACACTGGACAGTAACAATAAAATAACCAATAATGATGAAATAACTTTGCTTCATTTTGATAATGCAGGTGGGAGGAACAAACGTTACAACGTGACCGGGCAGGCCAAGGCCATGTATGACTTCAGTGCGAGGGATACGAGAGAGCTGACGTTGAGGGAGAACGAGATGGTGGCCATCATCAGCAAGGCAGGAGGACATAGAGGGTGGTGGAAAGGATGCATAGGCGACAGGGTAAGACAGCATCTGGGGGGGGGGGGGGGGTTTCACAAAGATCCTAAGTCAAACTTAAAAGCATCGTTTAACAATGTTAAATCTGAGATGCATTGCCTTACGTGGTATCCAGTGTCTTTGATATGGTGTAATATTGAAGCCCTAAAAAAATTGCACTTCAAAATGATCATGAAGTGCCTCAAAAAGTAAACATCTTTGAGTGACCGATTTTACCATTTTCCCCAATAGACTGTAGTGTTATAAAAACCATTAGGAAAACGCAAAATTTGATTTCGATTTCCAATCATGAATATTTTGATAATCAGACAGGTGATTGGCTTGTAAAAGTCATGGGGTTCCTGACTGACTAAAAGGTTTATAATTATCATTGCAGCATGAGCTATATCTAGGGCTTTGTTTCACAATGTGAGGCAATGTTACCGAGCCACTTTAAAAAGCATAAAATGTTGATTTAAATCATTCATATTTTCTATTATCAAGGAGATTTCATGTTCTTGATGTGAAATTTATGAAAAGTCTAAATTACTTCAATTTTTGCTTTTAGACATAATATATTTTAAGGCTACAAATGGCTCTCCAAATGTTTATGTCCAACTTAGAGTTAAGTTTGACTTAAGATCTTTGTCAAACACTCCCCAGGATAATCGTACCGTTTATTCCTTTAGAGATATAGGGTAGGATTGCAATTGGCGATCTACATATAGGTTTTGGGTTAGGGGCAGGGTTATCAGATTCACGGGAGCTCATTTGAAGGGGGGAAAAGGCTGCAGGTTTATGAAATACATTGTAGATTCCATCATCAATAAAATTCTTATACTGCCATATATAGCACAAGTACCAAGAGTTGTAACTGATCCTGATTGATTGCAAGTCCTACAATCACAAACTTAGAAATCCTATACCTTTTCAAAACAGAGTTGCTTTTTAAGTTGCACTTAATTTGAATCAATCTCAACTGTTTATAAGTTTTAGGCTCAGATTTTGAACATGACAATGTGATCTCCTTATTTTTCCGTTCCTTTTTCCCATTGTTTTACTCCTACAGGTTGGCTATTTCCCTTCGACGTATGTTGAAGAAATCGACGTGCCGTCCTGATGCAACACGAGACTTTCACCACGATAACATCCCAGATGGAATCGCGACTTGCGTTATGATTATTGTATGTACTGTTTCACAGAGCCTTTATCCTTCTATACATACATGTGTGATAAATGAAAAAAACTAGTGTGAATATTAGACTTATATATTTGTGAGATAAAGTGGTGAAGACAAGCGAGTGTAACTAACTAACCCAGACTCCTCCTCATCGACTGATGAGAAATGTTGCCGATATTAAAGTGGCTTCGGTATATGTGCTGGACCCACAAGATATGATATAAACTGATCAGAGTAGATTCATATCAACATGTTATCCCTATGTATGTATTTGTCCCCCCCCCCACCCCCAATCAAAAAAAAAGAAAGGGAGGGGCAATCTTCTATATATCTTTTTTTTGCATTGTTTATTCAATTCTAATTTTCTAAACTACATCTCTGTGTTATAGTCCAGACGTATCACAATGTAGTGAAGTATCCGCCATTGAAAATCAACTTCTCTTTACATGGGTTGAATGATAATGTGAAAAGAGGTTGCATATAGTTTGGTTGTATGCTATAAACAACAGGTAATTAAACACAATGCTTCTGGGGAAATTGAGACTTTAAACAAAATTATCTTTTATTTTTAATTATTCATTTAGAACCATCAAATGTTTGTTATTATGTATCGCCATAATTTGTTCTATCATTTACTTAAATTTGTACAGGGATCAAGAGCAGTGATATCAAAATATTTGCTATTCTATACTATGTAGTTTTTTTGTACTCCCTTCTAAAGAAGAACAAAATGTTATTAGGGGCCTGTTTCACAAAGTCTTTTTTCAATGACAATGACAAAGATCTGTGACAAATCTGCTGATATCCAATCAGAAGCAAGGATTTCAGTAGCTTATAACAAAAACTGTCATTTGTCACTGATGACAAGTTTTGTGAAACACCCCCAGTAAGACTTTCTCATCGTGGAATATGACATCAATTACATATTTTTGATATAATACTTCTGTTTAGATGTCAAAGTGAACGTGGGTAGCTGTATCTCGTAGTTTATGCTTGCTTTCCCAAGCTTGTGTGCTGTCTGAGTAGTCAAACTTCATGTTAATTAAACTCACAGCTTTTATATCATCCTCTTTAATATTGAGACCAAAATAATACATGCGTATATTATAGTCTTAATTCATTTGGATATGTTGCACAATTTGATATGTCACAATGATATAATACACATGCTACATGTATATTCTTTATACCGATGGATGGGGGTTATAGTTGGTCAATATGCATAATTCAGGTAATGATAAAAATGATACGTGTAAACAGAACTGAGTAGACTACTTTATTTGGTTTCACATAGGAATTCCCAACCGATGTAAGAACAGAGCCTTGTATTTAAATAAAGATGAAGGTAATCTTAACTAAATATTCAATCATCATGAAATTAACAATTGAGGACTTTGTCCTCTTACTGAAACTAGTCGAACAAAGAGTACTGATGCATCCATGTTAACATCTTATACGTGCAAATAAGTGAAAGGACGAGCCATTGATATTTGCTGATGAGTGGAAAACAAGAAAACTCACACTTTGTCAATGACATTTTTAAAGAGAATGTTGAGTTCTGGTCATGCAATTGCAATGTGAAAAAAACTGTATGGAAGTGATTGATTATTGGTGTATACTGTGAGGTTTTGGAATCATCAAAGTGATAAAAAATTGGCCCAGTCTTGCTATTAAAGTGCCACATGCACTGTACACAGAAACGTGTACATGGGACTACACAAAAATGTGGCATGAAAGTTGTCATATTTTCGAATGTGAAGGCATTTGAAGAGCCATCCTTTTGAGGGAATATTTTTCTATAATACTTTCCAAACTTAAGAGAATTAAAAAAAAATACACCTTATCTTTCACCTCTTCCAGACCTCAACCTTCTCTTTAAGAAATTATAAAGACATTCCAATTTTTTCTCAAGATTGTGAAAAAAATGTCACATGTGTGGCAAAAGAGACCAAAATATATTTTTTTAATGTCAGTTTTATGGTTGGGTTGTTTTTTAACCTTGGCCAATCTTACATCACCTACCAGTACATTGTATCAGGCATGTCGGAATGTTGTGAGTAAACACTGCATGGAGGGGGAATACCAATTGTTTGGTGTACAATGGTTTGCCCCTTAATGAAATGTAAACTCACACCTTTCTGATGATTCTACATGACAAAGATCATTCAATATCTTCTGTTTTGTATGGTATTGCATATTTTGTGTTACCCTGAAATACACATTTTTCCAAGAAGTGAAGTCAGATATTTCCATGAATTTCCATGAAGTTTGATTAAGGCAAGCATAACTATTTTGGCGGAGAGAATGTCATTATGCATGCATGTTATTAAAGGAAATTACATGAGAAAGTTGTATGTTGGAATATTCATGAGGGAAAACATGTTAATATTTAGATTTGTACTAGTGGGTATAGGATTGTTATTAGGAACCAATGAATTGATCAGACTCTTTGAGTCAATATGCAAGAAAAGAGAAAAAATTATTTGTTTTGCTATTTTTAAAATGAGATGAGACTTCCGATACACTTCCTTCAGACAGCTAGCATTAACAGATCAAGAGATGTATCAATAACTTTCACAGATCAAGAGAAATATCAATAGTTTTTTATTCAGATATGGGTATTTTTATGAACAAATTTGCTTCCGTATAAACATTTTGAGATAATGTCTTAGACTGTACCGATCAAATAACTTTGTTCATGTCTGTTTCCAAATTAAGATGTCCTATAATAGATAATCTAAGAGAGTTCTCATTAGGTGAATACTTATTAAAGCATTTTTCCATGAGTTCACCTGCAACTTTTATGCCATCGAAAATAAGTATCATGGGCTCCATAGCAGCGTCAAAATCAATCCAAGGGACCTCTTAGCATCTGAAAATGCATTGGTGATGCAAGGACATTTTAACCAAAAGTAGAACGTCTTTTATAGCAGAGCAAGACTTAAATTCTTGTTTTTCACACCACGTTGGAACAGATTTTAATTGAGTTGTAAGTTGGTCTAGCTGTGTGGTCAGCTCTCCGTCTTGGCCTACGAACTGACTGGACCCCAAGACCTTCTTTGTCTCTAGGTATAACTCTAATTATAAAATCAAGGGGCTAATGAGGCGATGATTTATGGAGCTAAGATGATGCCTCCTTCTCTTAGGGCTAACCAATTGTTTGCTGAGACCCACAAGGGCGTTAACTCTGTGTAAAGGATGTGAAGAAATGACCTACTGGCCCTCAGCAGATGATATACAGTCAAACCTGTCTATAGCGACCGCTCAAGAGGAACACAAAAAGTGGTCTTTGAAGACAGGTTCTTTTAGTACATGTTTCAATGAGAAACCATTTTCAAGGGAGCCAAAAAAATGTGGTCTTTGTAGACAGGTGGTCACTAAAGCAGGTTTGACTGTATATACATATCATTGCTTCATTTTGTTTTTTGCGAGACCAATTTACAACTCTTATTTATACAATAAACTGTGTTGGCTGCCCTTCCTGCATTCACGAGGCAGTGTGTGTTTAGTGTTCTTAGATGAATGTTGAATATTGAATATTGAATCACTCACTAAGTACCTTTTGCAGACTTGTGCAAATTCCATGAAACTCGGCAAGTGTTTTGAATATATCCTTCAGATATTGTGTGTGAAATTGTACAGTCATAGATTCTGAAAATTCTTTGTCAGAAATGAAAATTGAGCGTTTTTTTTTCTTCTTCATTTTGCTACGGAGGGAGCCAGTCTCAAATCAAGAGATATAAAGATGGAATTAGTTTTTAATCACTAAAAATAGTTTTTTCTTTTGGTGGAACGTTCCTACAAATTTACTTCTTCAGTATACACCCTAGGGGGTGTTTCACTAAACTTGTAATCAGTGAAAAATGACAGTTTTTGTTATAAGCTACTGAATCCTTGCTTCTGATAGGTTATCAGCTGATTTGTCACTGATTTTTGTAACTTGTCATTGAAAAAAGGCTTTGTGAAACTGGTCCCTGGATTCATGGAACTTCAGGTTTTTAGGTCTGCAAAAGGGACAAACCGTCTTCATTGCAACAAAACCTTAAATTAAGCAAATAACATTTTGTATAAGGAAGGTGCCTACGTGGAATCGTCTCTCCTATCAGGTTCCCACTATAGTCACTGGATAATTTTTTTTAATTTGATGAACCACATGTGTAGTTTGTCAAAGATTTCATCAAATGATATCAATGTTTTTTTTTATTTTGCTTTTGCTCGTACCCTGTGCCGGTCTCCTTACACATTCTTCTGTGAGGTTGTGATTTGAAGAATACAAGTATTGCTGATCTCTCAACTGTAGTAACTAAGTGTCAAATACTTTGGGTCATTCTAAAATCCTGAGGTTCATATGACCTTGCACCTGTTCGCGATGAGTCCTGCTTCATGACTTGTTTATTTTTTTGTTTTGTTTTCATGTAACCAAGCTAATGATGACAATGAAAAATAACACATACACAATATGGAGAATGTGCTTGAGATTGTTGTGCTTATTTCCATATTACTTTCTTTTACTTAGTTGCTGTATCATATTCAACTGAAAAGAGCACAAAATAAGATAGCTTTACAGATTACAGAAAAAAAAAATGATTTAAAAATAATTTTTCCTCTTGTACTATTCTATCAATGCTAAAAAATGTAATGTTTATATAGTAAAATTTACAGTCTTGTCAAATGCATTACTGTGCATCTAAATCAATGTGTGAATTTCAAAAGGTTTGTGTTTATATGGTCTATCTATGTATAAGCATATTTATAAGTTGCTTTTGTAAACGTGATACTGTTGTGTGCCTAGCAGAAGAGCACACAAATGGCCAAAATAATCACTTTGAAAAATTTGCAGTGATAACAATAATTTGAGAAGCTTAATCTTTCACATTGAGCAGTTTAGACAATGTACTGACTAAAATGTGTTGTGTGGATATAGCAAAGGATGACTAATTTTCAAAATATACTATAGGTCTGCCTTCATCAGCTCAAGATTGCCAAATAGCCTGATATTTCTGATTTGGGAAATAATCTTGAAGTTACAAATCAGTCTTCATCAGCTCGAGACTTGACCTCGAAAC